ATCAAAAATGTTAAATAATTACATGTCTCATTAAATTTTATTACTTTGCATTGCCAAATGTTGTAAATTGTAAAAACAAAGAGCAAAACCTTTTAAAAATATTAAATAATAAAATAAAATATTTAAATTAAATTAAATAAATTTTAATATTTTCAGTGTATTTTCTCAACAAAATTTAGAGAAGAAAATGACTGCACATTTTATATATTTTATATAAAGGATTCAACTTTAGACAGAATCACGATTATAGAAGACTAGATAAGACTACAATAAGGTCTTATTCTCTCAAATCGGATAAAAAATAAAAAATTTATTGTATTGTGGAATAATGTCAGGTCCTTTCGTAATGTTATCGAAAATTTTATACACATGTTTAGGTACACTCTTTTTTACACTTTATATTAGATAAATCATTGCTCAATTTAAAAAAAGAAAAAACATTCATACACGCGTATATTTAAATTTAATTTCTTAATTACTTTGTCAACCCACGCATTTGAAATAATTAAATATTTGACGTTGCAAAAATTACAAGAATTTCATTAAAGGGAAAATGCCAAAAAATTTTTTAAATATCAAATGTTAATGTCATAAAATTGTGTTTTTTATTTAAATTATTTAATTATAAATACTTTTGTTATATATACAAAATTATTTGTGAATGGAAAATAAATATTTTATATAGAATTAAAAATTATTATAGTTTATACAAATTAAAATATATATTATATAGTTTTCTCTAAAATACGGAAATTTGCAAAATTTGAATAGTGCGAATTCATTCATTCAGTTGTACAACAATAATTTTCGAAATTAACAGTTTCACAATTCGGCATTATGCCAAAATTTCGTAACAAAACATTTAAAACTATTCCGTTTTTATAAATAAATTAAATTTGCATTCAAATGGCATGTTAAACATGTAATAATTATGTACGAAAAAAATTTACAAAGTAAAATTTGAAAAATGCATGCAACCCTAATTATTGTAATTAAAACTACATTTTCTTTACTCTTTAGAATTAATTAATACGTTCTTTTGTCTCATTACATTAAAATTATTTTTTAGCTAAATACTAACTTCAAAAATGTTAAGCGTTTTGATTACTGCGTTGTAGTAGGTATTAATTATTTGTCAATATTATTATTTACGATAAATTGAAAATTTTAGTAAAATTAAATAATCGAGAAAAATAAAATTTTGATTAAAAATATATCGTGCATTATTAGCAAAATTCGTCTGTGTTGTAAAATAAGTTGCAAATTAGAGCGTTCACTTTGAAAAACGGCCATTAAATTTTACTTAAATTTACGAGAAACTCAACAGGCATTAAAACAATAATGCAAGATATGGAATAGAATTTATTTATTATTAATAATTTTCTCGAAAAACCCATTGCTCTAATCAAAATATTGAGAAAAGTTCATCCTATGAAATTATAAAATTATTTTGGTTATAATATTGGCTGAGTTCTTTCGTAAATTTAGGTTCATATGTTATACAGTTATACATCAAATACATATATTGTAGACGAAAAAACCAATAACAAGTTCAAATAAAAAAGGTGAGATTAACTTGAGTTTAACCATCGTAAAATATAATTATGACTGAATTTTTTTTTGCCAAAATGATGTGAAGTAATGAAGACAACAGAATATTTGAATACTTTCAATTAATCCTATAGTCTTAATATTTATAACAATTCGAAATATACAGGAAGGCAAAACCTTTTTTTCTGTATTTTAAAAATTTCAAAAAAAAAAAAAAATAATAATAAATTAATTCTAAAGTAATATATAAAAAAATTTTAAAATAAAAACTTAAAAAATTAAAAAAAAAATGCAAAACCAAAAAGGAAATTCAATAAAATTGAAAACTTTTTCAAGATGCGAAAAATAAATCTAAAGAAAGAACAGCAACAATAATATTTTTAATAAATGGCGCCTTCCAAGAAATAATAATTTAATTAAAATTCTCCGTTATTTTATAGTTTTCGAAAATTATTATTATAACGGGAAATCTTTTATCTTATAAATAAATTCTCCACAAAAATGAACCAAAACAAAAAATTATTATTTTGTTTTTTTTTTTTTTTTAATTTATAAAATTAATTATTTGTTTACAAGTACGAAAGAGTGAATCATAGAATTTTCTTTTAAAAACAAATGCTTAACATGCATAATAATATCTACATACACACACATTTATCTATATGTTCCAATAACACATATGCGTATATGAAATTTAGCTTTTTAGTTTTACAGACATAGATGTTCCAAAAATATATCTTCAAAATTGTATAGTAGGTACATATACACATATCAGCCACTGATTTATATTCACATATTAGAACTGTTCCAGACTATACCCGCATAAATTTATTATATGTGTGTTTGCATATTTGCAGCTATCTATATATGTAACCATATTAAAATATGAATATTTAAATGGAATGTACTTAGTATTTGACATAATTCCAAAAAAAAAATAAAATTGTCGCCAACATTCAATTAGATAGAAATCTAACCATACTAATATTATTGTATAAAGTTAATATTATTAAATATTATAAAATTTATATGACATTTAATTCAAAATTATGTTTCATCTTTAAATTCTTTCAGAATTTCAATATACATCAAATAATTCTTCATCATATACAGGTTCATATATGTATACTATACTCAGTAATATTCCATTTTCTTTATCTATTTCTCAATTTCTTCCTCTCTTATTCTGACATGTTCAAAAATCTCAAATTGAACTATGTTCTAGTTTGGTGTTTGACTTAAAAAAGAACTAAGATTTTCAGTTCATTTACTGTGTGAACTGCGGCCAAGTATCAAGTTAGTGTTAGTCGGAATTTATTTCTCAATTAACGTACGCTCTTATTTCATATGAACTAATAGCAAAGTTTTTTTTTAGTATTTTAGTGTTACAATTTTTTTTAGATTTCTAGCCTAAGTTCTAAATAATTTTTGTTTTTTTTGATAAATTTCATTGATTTTTTTGATATTTATTTAAAGAAAAGCCATTTTTCTCTCAGTAATTTTCGAATAACTTGTTAGTAATAGTATATACACTATATTTATACATATAATATGTATAAAATTTTGTATATAGGTACGCATATAATTTTTTAAATATTTTTTTGTATTGAATTATGCTAATCAAAATATTTTACCAAAATTGACTAAAGAAATGAAACGATACTGCACTTCAACATTTTGCATTTATTTTGCATGTAAATATTTTTCGCTAAAAAAGATTTTTCGATATAACAACTACACTGCACGTTCACGTCTCTTTTTTGAACAAATTCAAAGAGAGTAGGGTAAAAAATAGCCAATTTAATTAAAATTTACTCATTTTAAACAATTCCACTGACTATAGAAAATTTTCTCTATTACTATTTTTTATAATTTGTAAATAAAATTTTTTGTTGGCGTTATAGAAGATCAAAATCATCTTAAAATTTAATCTGTAAAGGTATAATTTCATTGATTATAATCAAAATTTTACTCATTAATACAACAGTATTAACTCATACGATCGAAAGCAAATTCTTTTCTAAAAGAATTTTTATAAACTAAAATTCATTGACTTTTGTATTTATAAAAAAAAAATAGCTAATGAAAATTTAATTAACTATTAAAAATTTTATATTACAAAAAATTCCAACAAAAATATTAAAGAACAAAATATTCATATGAACTTTTTCTATATAGCTACTCGTATAAGTTCAAAAATACGGCATATTGCAAGGCAAAAGCATTTTATTGAATATATAAAGAAAAACATCTTTAATTTAAAAATAAATAATTTTTATTTTATTTATGAAAACAAACATTTTAGACAAATGAAATTTTCCATTTTTATCTATGTAAATAGCTCTTTACGATCTTTTCGGCATGCGAACTGAAAAGTAAAAAATCAGAAAAATTTTTAGGAAATATCTACTAAAATTTTTTGTTCGAAAAACAAATTAAATTAAAATAGAAAAGTAAAAAAAAACAGATAGAACAATATTGTACAATCATAAGATGTTTTCGAACATTTTATATGTTCGAAACACTTTTATTATACACTTAAAAATGGAACGAAATTCAAATATTTGATGTTCTAAACAAAATACAATTAGTGTCCAAAAATATTCTATCTAAGCATTTCTAACAAATCAACATTACGCTTTGAATGTTGTCATCCAAATTCGTTGAATCTGCAAGTGACGCTATATTATTAAGTTCGTTTAAAATTGGATTCCCAACAATGTTTTTAAATAGAATTGTTTGATTTGCTGAAAGTCTTTAACAAAAAATAATATTGTATGTTATTCATATTCATTTATAGATATAAAATATCACAATATCATATATATAGTGATGAAAATGTCCAATCAAACACTTTTTAAATTCATACCAAAAATTAATTAAACAGCATTATTCTAGTAATTCAAAGAATCATAAATTGTTTAATAAAATATTTGATAATTGATATTTCATTGTTTTAAGACCAAAAATGCCGTACCAGATAAGTTGATTTAATTAAAAATAAAAGCGTCTATGTCAAAATGCAGATCTAGAATTAGTTTGACTCATTCAGCAATTGAAAACGTACTCTTGAATATGTTAAGCTGACGTGACAATGTCCAACCATTTGTTTTTAGTTTCGTTTCGACAATCATACATGTATGATTTACTCGCAAAATTACTTTTAATTTCCTCATACAAAACCAATGTTAATGTTAATATTCTAAACTGAAAAATAAATTAATAATCAATTTCTTCAAATTAAATTTAACATTGAACATAAAAATAAGACAACAATCAACCGCAACAAATATTATTCAGTGACTGATTTTCTCTCTTCGACCAAAATTCTTATTTCTAGTGAATTTTTTCAAAAAAAAAAATATAAGAGAAAATAAAAAAAATAATAAGATTTTTTTTCCTAAGACGTTTTTAAGTAATTTCATTAAAAAAAAAGAAATTAAAGAAAAATATGCTGAATAAAAAATAAGTAAATCAAATTATTAAATTTATTAAAAATATATTGAAAATAATTCAGAAATTTTTGAATATTTTAAAAAAATAAAATTATTTTTTTTTTAAATAAAATTTGAATTTAAAATTAAAAATACAATAATATAAAAACATCTAGTATATCTAGAGTTATTAAATAAATAAAGCTGGAAAATGGCAGATACAGAAATCGCAAATTGCGATGAAAATTACGCTAATGAATATAAAAGATTACAGTCCTTATCAAGTCAAGATGAAATCCGACATTGGTGTGTAAGTTGATATTTTATAATGTTTACAAGTTAAGTTGCATTATACATGTATAACCATACTTGTTTATTATTATACAAAATAAATAAATTACGTTAATTGAATTTCTAAAGTAAATACTAAAGTGAGTAAGAAAACAAATGTATAAATATGTGCCTACGTATGTATGTATGTGTGGGTACATATACTAAAATCATCTCTATAGAATTTCTTTGATATTTTTTAAAAATAACAAATAAAAATGACAGTTTTGTAAATTAATAAGTAAAATAGAATTTTAAATTAAAATTTATAAATTACAATTTTGACATTGCCATGAAGTTCATTAAATGTGAATATTGATTCTGATGGCTTGAGTTTTGTAAATAAATTTTAACAGCAATGATTGTGGTTCTTTCAGACAACTCTCTAGGCTTTAAATTAGCAACGGAATGGAAAAAAATTAAGCAAATTGCTCATTTTTATTATTGTCGAAAATTTTAATTTGATTTTGCAATTTTTGAAATGAAAATGTTATTGCTATATAGTTGGCTCATTAGTATGAGAATAACCCATACAAATGATTTTTTTTCATCAAAATTTAATTTGAATTGTAACAAAATTAAAGATGAAATGAATATGGAACTGAAATATTAAACTAAATTTTGTAAACTATTCTTTTATAAAAAAAATCTTAATAAATATTTACACACATATTTTAATATTTTTTTCTTTTATATTTTCAGTCCGAATATGGTCTTTCAGAAGAGCAAGTTGCAGGTAAATATAAAAAAATTTTTTAATTGTTCGTTGAGAACTTAATAAATAACTCACCATTTTTAAATATTTATTTTAAAAACACGATTAGAGGGTTGTTACACGATCTATGATAAAAGAAAATTCAAGAAAATTCGTTAAGAAGAAAATTCAATTGCGGTACCATGCATAAAACTCTTTCAATCTAAATTTTTCTCTTAGTACCTTTTTAGGATCTTAAATTTCAAAGTTATGGTAACTGAATATTCTCTTCTAACTTCCTTTTAGAATTACAAAAATAAGAAAACAATAACAAGTAAACTACAGTAAATTAAAAATAATAGATGCAAATTTTAACAAATGTTAATTTTCGATACAACACTTTTAACACACTAACTCTAAAAAATATCTTCATTGTTTATTTTCATATCACCTGTATGGTAATGAAAACATCTTTCGCAGCACAAACAATACAATCATACGTTCCGGCAGCCTTTAATATGCAAAAAATAGGAAAAGAATAAAAATAAACTTTTTTAATTCATAAAAATTTACATTTTTATTTTGCAAATCAATAGGAAAATTTTTTATTTTTATACTCGTATTATTTTTTTGATACAAAAATTTAATATATAAAAAAATTTATTCACAAACCAATTAAAATTCACGTGAGAATAACGAATTATCCATTGAGTTTAATATGAAATGGACACACCTTTGAATTGGTAAAAATTACGTAACTGTTAATAAAAGCAAAAAAAATTAAACAAAAAATTTGTTATTTTTGTTTTTTGCTTTTAAAATAAATCCTTTTTTCTCTAAACTTTAAATAACGTTTCTAAAAAATTTTTATTTGGTTTCTGTTCTGTATTGTCGAAAAAAATAAAAAAAAATCAGAAGGGAAATAATTTCACGTACAAAACGAAAAATATTTCGAGGGAAACTAAAAAACATAAATAAATTGGCATAATGTTGTCGTTTAGCGTTTTTTTTTCATTCACATACATATTGTCAAAGTTATTTTTCCTATTATATTTATTTGTTTCACGTCAATGTTCTTTAACCTGTTATGTCAAGCTAATATATCAAAGCAGTTTGCAATCATTTACGGTTTAAAACAATCCAAAATGTTTAGCGAACCAATAAAAACGGAGACGAACCAATATTTGTTGGAAGAATGTTCGGCCTTAATTCGGAAAAATTTGAAGGCAGACGAACGCTATAAATTTATCAATAGCTTGTGCACAAAGGCTCTTTGTTTGGCATATTTTTCAATAAAATTATCAACTTTAACGACCTATTATCAAAATTTTGCTACGAAATTAATTATTTATCGGTTAACAGTGTGAGTTATCTGCACGTTGCTAAAATATCTCACAACACTATTTCAAGATTCGATTTCAAAATTCGATTTTAACTTTTACTCTTGCTCTCACTTGTGAAAAAATTAAACGATAACACTGTTTATGACAATCATTATGTGTACATTATAGACAAGTCACGTTCTTCAAATCTGTACTAAAAAGGATATCCGTTTAAATTATATTATTTTTCTTTTTTTCTCTAATTTTTTATATTTCACTTCTTTCTAATTTAAAACTGTAGTTATTCCCACCCTCTTGTTAAATTATTGTAGTATTTTTTTTTGTTATTTTAAGTCAAATCGACAGCAAAAATTTTGTACAAAAATTTCCACTACAGAACTAAATTACAAAAATAGCAAAAATAAAAATCAGCAGAAAAATTCATTAATCTATCAAACTTGAAGCACATAAAAGTTATAAAGAAAAATATTGAAACAGAACAAGATTTTATTTTTTATTTTATTTTTTTTTTTACACACTACTGAACTCTGCACAACACATAATGAAAAAAATCCTTTTAAATTAAACTTTTATCCTCTACATTTATACGAATGGTATATAGAGGGCGAAAAAAAAGTTAAAGTTTTCCCAAGTTGTAAAAACGAGAGAAGAAAAAAAATAAACTGTTGGTAGCATCAAAATTTTTTGTATTTTTATATTTATTTTTTTTATACACCCTTATTATTTTTTTATTTTAGAAGTACGATAAAAAATATTTGAATTAAATTCAGGGTTTAACGTTTATTATATTTCAGTCTATAATAACAAATAAAATCAATGGGCGCCCTTGTAAATTTTTTAACAATTTTTACATTACCTCAATTCAAAAATATTGAAATTTAAGAGTTTCTCCTTCCAACATAGTTGTTTTTTATATGTAAAATTTAACAACCGAATACAAATTAAGAATGATTATTGACATTGTCATATGATCGCGACGAACCCAGTAATGTTTTTGGTACCATTGTTAACCAATTTGTGAGAGTTTTAAACAATTGCTGCTATCTGGAACTATCGAATGGAATTTCTATACCTTAAACTAAAAAATCACCAAATCGAATGTTGTCGAATGTTCGCTAAATTCGTTCGATTCACTTAGCCATTTCCTTCGTCAATTATTATGGAGTCCTATACTTTAAATTGAAATATAAACTCAATGCAGAAAACTTTCTCGTATGTTATACCTTGTAAAATATACTTAAATAATTACTTACATAACCATCTATTTAACAACAACAATCAAAATTTAAGAAAAACACTTAAGAAGATAAGAAAATGATTCAAAAAATTGTTCTTTCACTAACTTAGGACCCTATAATGCCCTGCTTAGGAACTGTCTTTGTGTGTTTGTTATATGAAGAAACTAATATTATAAGTTTATCGTCTTTTTGCAAATATGTTGCAATATGGTTTTGGTAGTTTGTTTTCTTTTTTACATTTATCTTTTTTATATTCATTTTGCTTTGTTGCAGAAACTTTTTAAATTTTTTGCAAGAATAGATTGCAAATTAAAATACTAAAGATAAAAGGATTTTAAAAAATATCGCAGAATTAAGAAAGATTATCCTTGTAAAAATCGAGAACAAAATGACTAGGTTTTTTTTTGCAAAAGCAAAATTCTAAACTTTAATTAAGTATTAAGTTCTTTAAGCCATTATGTTCTCTTATGTTGATGAAGAAAGAACAAAAAATATACCTAGTTAATTTAAATGAAAAGTAAACAGGATGGAGAATATAGGTGGATCATGTCATATTGCGTTACAAAAAAATAAGAATGTGCTAATTAATAAGCTGCTAAATTTATGTTAATTAGTGACATTATAAATTATTGTTGCATTGTATGCATACTGCATTCTTAAACAAAATGCAAAGTTAATATTTAAGAAACGTATTATCGCGTAAATTAAAAATGAATGCAACTTTATACTTTTAAGAACATAAAAAATGTCAACTGTGTTACTTTTTTTAATTTTAATGTCAAGGACATTTTTATAAATCAAAGCATATTTGAAAAAATCTTTTCAACCAAAAAAACTCATATTTTACTTTATTGTTTTCACTAAAAGTCCCAGTTGTATTGTTGTGGAATATTTAAAGCAAAATAAACAGTATGAAATCACAAAAGAAAGTTGTTTTTTTTTTTATTAAAAGAAAACAACTTAAACTTGTGAATTTCTGATGAAAGCAAAAATTCACCTGATAATTGCACCTGACCTTTAGGCCTTTATAATTCTCGTCCTTTTTTTTTAATTATTTTAAAATTTACTTAAAAAATATCTTTTTAATAAATATTATATTTTATTTATTTTATAGAATTTAAAGAAGCATTCATGTTATTCGATAAAGATGAAGATGGAACAATTACAATGGCTGAACTTGGTGTTGTTATGAGATCTTTAGGACAGCGACCAAGTGGTAAGTACTTAAGTAATTTTATAGTTTATAATATAAACTTATATTTGTCCATATGTACATGGAATAATATTTGAATTTTTTTTTTTAATCTAGAAACTGAACTCAGAGATATGGTTAACGAAGTGGATCAAGATGGCAACGGAACAATCGAGTTCAATGAATTTCTACAGATGATGTCCAAAAAAATGAAAGGTGCTGATGGTGAGGATGAATTACGGGAAGCATTCAGGTAAAATATTACTTTTTTTTTAATATACATACAAAATTATCAATCATTATAAATAAATATAATTCATATAATTTTTTTCAATTAAATATAGAGTATTTGATAAAAATAATGATGGCTTCATATCATCAAGTGAATTGCGCCATGTTATGACAAATCTGGGTGAAAAACTATCCGAAATGGAAGTAGACGATATGATTAAAGAAGCTGATTTGGATGGTGATGGTCAAGTTAATTACAGTGGTAAGTGTATAATAAAAATTTTTATATTTATTTTTTAGAAAACGAAACTTTTTCAAAAACACAATTGCTTTTACTTTATATTTTTAGATTTTGTAATGCTGTTAACTAAGCGCAACTAGTGCCGAATTTGTAATCGTCGAGGGAGTAAGAAACCAAAAAGTGTTAAAGAATGAGCCTAATAAAATATAAATTTTTTATAAATTATGTATGTATGTATATGTAAACCTGCAAAAAAGACAAAAAACAACAAGAAACAATTATAAAAATAATATAGAAAAAAATACAAAACTCCTTTCTCCTCAACTATATACAACAATTTTACCACCAAAGGAAAGGAAGAACAAGAATTTAAAATGAATAAAAAATAAATAAAATACATACACAATTATAAATAATTTTACTGATTATGGTTATCAACGGAAAAGAGTTTTTTTTATTTTTAAAAATAAAAAATAAAATTATAAGAATATGAAAACGATGTGCTCTGTAACTTCAAGGACCAGTCTATACTAATAATAAAAATAAAATCATTTATTAATAAAAAAAAAAAACAAAAAATTAACAAAAAATCAAAATAAAATGTATAGATAAATCTAAGAATTTTTGTAAAAATGCTCTCCATATATTAAATTTCAACAATTATGGAAACCCTTGACGATTATATAAAAATATAAAATTGAGTGGAAGGGATATCCACCAAAAACAAATATATAAAATAAACAAAAAAACAACAACAAACATTTAAGAACAAAATTTCCTTATTTCGGATCTCTTTTGCCTATTCTCCACAATTCTCATCACATCCACAATCCCTCCCCCTCCTATCTTTTTTGCTATAATAGAGCAAAACAATTTCTTAGTTATTATATTTTAAATTTTTTTATCACAAAATTTTCATTACATACCTAATAATGAATTGAAATTATTCAAATAATAAAGCAAAAACAAGAAATAAAATATTATTTAACAATTAAAAAAATATATGTACCTAGATACATAATATTAAATATCACGTAATTTAAAATAAAAAACAGAATTTTTTTTAGGCTTTCTTGTTTTTGTTTTTTTTTTTGTATAAAAATTTAGTGGATTAAACTAAATTTAAAATTTCAGTATAAACATAAAAGTTTAAATAAAATTTGTAATAATCATATACATAATTTAAAACAAAAGATTAAGAAAAGGAACACTAAAAGACAACTTATTAAAAAACAACCAAAAACAAAAATAAAATAATTTAAAATTTAAAAAAAAAGTATATAAAACTTTAGCTAAAAAACTGTAACAAAAAAGAAAATTTTTGTAGTCAAATATTTTTATTAAAATTAAAAAAAAAAAACCAAAAAAATATTAAAAAATAAAGCAAATACCAACATTGTAGATATGTCATACAAAAAAAAAGGAATTACTTTAAATTTAGTAAATTAATAAAAAAAAATATAAACGTCTAGGTAAAAACTACACAAAAAAACAAAAAAAAAAATAAATAATCAATGAGAATATCATAAATGTCAAAAACTGAAAATATCGAAAAATAAATGTCAAATAAATACATATATGAAAAACTTAAAAAAAAAAATTATCATAATTAAGTAGGTTAATAATAATAAATTTTCAATAAAACCATAAATTCAGAAAAATATTCAAATCCAAAAAACTAAATTTTTTCAACCATTTCATTGCAACATTTTAACGGAACTGTCATGCAAACCGTAAAATTTAATGATAAAAAAGGTTTATAATTTTTTTTAAATTTCACAAATATAAGTACATAAAATATTTTCAATTGAAAAATTCTAAATCTAATAATTTGATTTCAAATTCAATTGTTCCTGTTTTTAAAGCCCTGTATTTAAAATCTGAAACGTTCAAGCAATTAACAAACGCATATATTCTATTTTTGAAAACCTACTTATTTTTACATAATTCAAATAACTTTCTGCAAACTTAAAAAGGATGAAATAAATTTTATATTAAAAACTTATTTAAATTTAAAAAAATGTTTAGCTATGTTTGATAGCTTTGAACTTCCCTTGAACCAATAAAACCAATATTTATAGGAATAGAATGGCATATTATAATAAATTTAAGTGAAATTTTCTAAATTTTAATTGCAATAATAAAAACTACAGTGGCTAAACCGTGATTATGTTATTTTCTTAAAATAATTTACAATAAAAACTCTTATTTTAAAATAAAAAAAATAATATATAGAATCATACAGTAATTTAGTATAGAAGGCCTATTATTTATCTTCCAAGATTTATAATAAATTATTCTGAAGCATACAATTATAATATATATGATCTACATTCATCCATCTGTCTCCGGAAAATCAATATTATAATTAAAAATCCCCCATACATATACGTGAATATACATATTTGCAATACATTCACTTGATCTCAAGTGAAATTTTATAATTAATTCGATAATTAATTTTAAAATCAGAATTGAACAACTAAATAATATAATGTATTGCAATAAAAAATTCGAATCGATTGTATACTCGTATATTTATATGTATATACTTGATATAAGAATGAAAAAAAAAAACAGAAACTATGAATACATAAGTGATCATATTACACAAATTTTCATTTTATATAGAAGAATGTATGTATATGGTAAATGTAAAATATCGGTGTGCATAACTAAAATATTTTAACAAAATAGTTATATAAAAGAGTAAATATATATATATATATATACACAATTATATGTATATATATATATATATATATATATAAAATTGTATGATTGCATTATACAAATAATTAACATTTACTTATTTAACTGCAGAATGTAACAATACAAGAATCAAAATCATATAACTATTAAATATGATTATAGTAAAATATTAAAATTTACTGATAATTATGTGAAATATCTTGTTTAACGTATAATCTGTATATAAAATATTTATAATAAAATACACTTATTTTCTTTTATATAAATTTTATTATACACATATAAATTATATTATAAAATCCCATATAAAACATATATACAAAATATCTTTGTCCTTAACTTTTATCTATACTTATAAATAATTTTTTTATTTACCATATTTAAATATTATGTTTTATCTCCTTTTTTTTATTTATTTTTTTGTAAAATATTTTCTATTAATTTTTATCGTGTACATAAATATGTATATATAATAAAGTCAATAAAAATTTAGAATTATTAAAATTACTATTTTACAATTTTTTATTTATTTTATGTTTTGTTTTCTTTTTAATTTATGTACACAGGAAAAATCTGATGCATTGACATATTTCAGCAAATAAAGCAATTTATTTTATTTAATTAAATCTAAATAAAGTATCGAACTTTCGGTAAATAGTTAAAGTAACACTTCGATATACAGTCACATTTGCTTAAGAGTACAAACAAAATTTCTAGAATATTTTCAACTAAAAGCAATTTTTTCATTTATAACGCTAAATTATACTTATAACACCATTTTAATAATGTGTATTTTTTTATAAACATTTAATCATTTGCATAATGCATATAATTAATTATTGAACTTATCAAACAAAAATGTTAAATGCTATTGGCTTGTGCCCGTTAAACATGTACATACATATATTTAAAATAAAATATCATTATTTTTTATGAAAAACAATATGTTTTTAAAATATGTTATCTAAAAAGGTTTTGACTGTCAATCGAATGAAACTTTGGGTGAAGTAATTTGCTTTTGAAAAATTAAATATTTCAATATTTACATTTCAAATAAACTTATAAAATAATTATTTTGCATTGAAGAAATTAATATTTAAATTGTTTTGACAACACTAAGAAAAAAATAGACTATTGTTCATTACATTTTAAAATTACATTTTTTGATAATTTCAATTTAAATCTTAAATAATATTTTCATATATTAAGTAAAATTTATTAAGTAAAAATTTCAGTTTATATGTTTTCCAATTATTTTTTGTATAGAATTATAAACATTGTTATATGCAGTCCTTACATTTTTTTAATCTATATTAAAACTGATATCACTTTAATAAATATATAATAATATTAAGTCGTATGAAAAAAATTAGAACATTGATTAATATCAATGTAAAAAAAGACGAAAAAATAAAGTATTTAATTTTGAATGGCTCTTTGCATAAATGACCCAATTCAAAATTAAAATATTATAATTGATTGAGTATATCATAATAATATTTAATTTTAGATTAAAATATTGTAATATCAATAATTATTCTATATATATTTATATTATTTAATAATATATAAATAAATTTATATTATAATTGGCTGTGAGTCATTTTTGCATAAAGTCTATCACTAATTGGCACCATATAATACATATAAATTATATTATTTTTCACATTTATTTAAATTAATTTGATTCTTTTCTTTTTCCTCCTTTTCTCTTCAACTAAATTCTAATCAATTATGAACCTAAAACAAGAAAAAAGTGAAATATTATTTAAAATGCATATTGTTTTTTATTAACAAATTTTTTTTAATCAAATAATTTTAATAGATAAAATTTATCATTTTAATAAAAATGAAGAGTATAAATATAATTAATGAATGCAATAAATTTTATTTATATTAATTTATAAATCTATTAATTTTTTTCATATTTTTGTTAATTATTATGTAGAATTTAATAATATACATATATTATTATAGATATAATTTAGATTACTGTTAAATAAGGGATTATTCATTCTAGTAAGATTTTGAAATATTTGATTAATGTTTATGAAAAGCATATTTTTAAATAAAACAATCTTAACCAGTAGATATTCACAATTTTTCTACAAGTTTTAATAAGCCAAGAGAAATTAGCAAAATATAAATAAAATTAACTAAACTTCGGACTCTCAACTGATTTATCAAATCAACAATTAAAAAACAAAAATATTTTATTTGGAGATTCGTTTTATATAAATTATCATTACAAAATTGGAAGATAAAGCTATTCACCTTCAGCTCCCTTTTTAATCTCCCCACAAAAAAATTAACAAACATAATGTATTAATAATTTATAATTTGCTTTTCAAAAACACAATTTTTAATCAACAAAATGTTTTAATTTAATGAATATCCCTATTTAATTCATGTATTTTATATAAATAAATAAATTTAAAAACAATACAATATTATAATATATTATATACACATACACTTATATAATTATAAATTATCAAAAAATAGTTATTTAAGTAAAACCCAAAGGAAAAAAAACAAAAAAAATATAAAAAATACAACCAAAATATAGAATAATTTGGAATGGTGTATCGATATTGTTATATTGGTGTTTGATGTTATCAATCGTATATACATATATAGAGAAAATCTTATATATAAATAGATAAAACATGTTTATAAAATATAAAATATACACAGAAAAAAAATTACATGTAGATTATAAAATAATCATTATAGATAAATGTAGTATAACAATTTATATATAGTCAAAAAATCTTTATATAATAATATATATATATATATATATATGTATATGCAAGAAAACCCAAAAACAAAAAAATTAACTGATGAAAAACATCAATAAACATTATTTATATTAATATACTTTAAATTTAATAATATAACAGAAACTTATACATATATGCACATATATAATTTCTAATTATAATGATAAAAAAAATAAAAATTTTAAATCGGAAAAGAAAAAAATGCGAGAAAATCATATTAAAAAAAATTTAATAAAATAAAAATAGAATTATTTTCCTTAGACAAAACAAAATTTAATACATAGAAAAAATTTAAATAAAAATTATGAAAAAAATTAAAAAACCAAAAAAAAAATACCTAAATGTGCGCTTCAGTGTTAACCAAACTGCTATAAAAATAAAACTCAAATAATACAATTACAACATTCACACATGACAAATATTTATGCATTTACTTATTTTATATAATATTTTTTCTGAATTAATAATAATTTTTTTTAATTTTTCGTAACAAATTCCGTAAAGAAAATATTTTCAATTTTTAATCAAAAATAAATTTTATATGCCAAGTTATATGAAAAATTTTTTTTGGGGTACATGAATAATAAACAAAAATGTACCGAATTATTAATTTTTAAACTTGGTAATTATTGTCTATTTACTTGAAAAATAATAGAAGTAAATACTTGCCATTTTGATCGTAATCGATTTCATAGTAATTTCAATTTCATCAAAAATTATTCATTACTTTATACAATTATAGCTGATAAGCTAACTATAATATTAATAATTTGGAATTAACTTACAAAAAATTTTAAGGAAAACAAAAAATTGTCAAAAATTATTATATGAAATCGATAAAAAACAATTTTATGAAATTAAAGTTGATCCATTTGAGTTTTTTAAATAAAAATATAGTAAACACCGTTCTCATAAAACAAATTTTGAAATAATAAAAGAACAAATAAATTATATCATAACTTAAATAATAAAATTTTTGTATATAACATCACGTTTGAATTGCAAAAGAGTCATAATAAACATCATTTAAAAAAAAGATTAACTTATTTTTTTTTTGCTTTATCAATTAGAAAATAAAATATTTTTGTTTCTTAAAAATTAGAGTCTTAATTAATAATTTCGAGCATAAAATCTGTAATCTGACTTTAATAAAATTTTTATTTTGCCTATTTAATTACTTGCGAATTTTCATATAACAAAGCAATTTTACATTTTGCACAAAAGTTAATCTAATTTTTTTAGTAAAAATTTACAATAAAATTCAATAAAAATGAAGCTCAAGAAAAATAATTATCGCTTTGACATATGCAAAATGTTTTATAATCTTTTCCAAAATAACAAATAAATTTAAAAAAAATCCAAATTATACCTTTATACATTAATAATTACACCACAGAAAAAAAAAAACAACTTAAAATTTAATTAATAGTCTAGAAGCTTAACATTTCAACATTTTATAAATTCCATATAAAAAAAACAATATATAGAATTATATAAATAGATGAAATTTACGAATTTTATAATAAGAAAATTTGAAATAAATATTCAGTAACATATATATATAGCTAATGCCCGAAAAAATACATCCAAAATGGTTTTAACAAATTCGCTTATTATATGAATTTCATAATATATGTACGTTGTAAAATATAATTTTCATAATTTTTTCATAAGTTAAAGTTAAATTAAAATTACTTTGAATTACGTTTTTAACTAAAGACACAGTATAAAAAATTCTCAAAAAATTTTTGAATTTAAATTATGTACGTATTATTTCGTGCTATAAAAAAAAATTTAAAATTTATTTCAGTTAAACAAAATTTAAAATTTAATGTGATAATGGAAAACAGAAATTAAAAGTAAAAATTTTAGATTTTATTAATTTCTTGAATTACAATATTATTTATATTAAAAATAATTACATTCATTTATTACATTGTACAATATTTTAACTAAATTTTAATTTCTGTATTTAAAAATCTGTGTCTCGTAATTACTCCGTCTTTGATGAATTCAAAGTATAAAAAACCAAAAACAATGGAAGCTTTATTTAAAATTTGAAACATAAATTAAATAATAAGAATAAAATTTAAATATTTATTTATAAAATATATATACAAATTTATTTTAAAATATTTTAATATAACAAATTTTTAGTTTTATTTTATTGTTATATATAAAATAAAAAAAAAATTAAAAATTAATTGAAAACAGGGTATAGTATGAGTTTGTACATAACCAAAAAATTTACAAATAATCAAAAATATTAAAAAAAAAAAAAAAACAAGAACAAAATTAAATTACATAAAAATATTAATTTATACATATAATATAAATTATAATTACGTGTATAATATAAAAATAATTTATAACAACAATAAAATAATTAAGTTAACATTAAACGGTTAAAATTTCAGTAAAAAAAAATCAACAATTTAAAAGATTTAATGTTTAAAATTTTTAATAAATTATAAATAAAAAAAGAAACTCAGAATTAAGATATTATACAATTAAATATAAATTAATTTAAAATTTATTTTATTATAATTTTATTACATACATTTACATATAAACAACTAAAATATAAATTAACACAAAAAAAATTTAACAAACATTTTTTTTTTTCATTTTTTTAATACATGTTTAAAGCATAAATTTAATTAATTATTAATAATATTTATAAAATATTATATACAATATGTGCATAAAAATACATCTTTGATTTGTACTTTCTTATAGTTTTTAAATAAAATAATATAATTTTTTAAATTTATTCAGAAATTTTATACACTTAAAAATATTAAAATTCATAATTCAAAAAATTAACGTTACACAATTTATTAATTTTACAAAATTAACAAATATTATTAAAAAATTAACACGTTTCTAAAAAAACAAAAACACATTTTGATTTAAAACATATGAAAACTACCTAGAATTTTACTAAAAAAGACTTTTTAATAATTTTTAAAAGGAAATTGGAAAAAAAATTTAAAAAAAAATATAACAAATTAAAAATTGTATAAATTCCTATTCTAAATATAAATAAAATAAAATTTTATATAAAACAAAAAGTCGTATAAAATAATTAATTATTACTATCTATTTACTATATATACATACATATATATTACATAATTATAAAGGAAATAATAAATTTTGCAAAATCTAAAATTTTCCAGCTAAGTAACACATTTGTTTCGTTATTTTTTTATCATATGCTAGATAAATTCCACACAAATATATTTGAAAAGAATAAAATATAAAAATGAAAAAAAAATTCAAATCAAAGAAAATGTTTTTTGAAAATAACGATGATAAATTAAATAATAAGAAAACAAAATTTAATTATCTGTAGAAATCGTTTTTTATTTAATGATATTTTATAATATTGAAAATCGCAACACAAATCGGAATAAATAACTAAACAATGTAATTATTTAAATAAACAAGAATTACAATCGTTTTGAGAAATTTTTTGTTTTCTTTATTGCATTCATGATCTTCCAACAAAAATTCATTTTTTTATGTTAATATAAAATTATTAAACAATATTAATTCATACTTCTCAAAAAATGCAACAATATACATAATGGTTATTTCATTTTTTTAATACTTTAGCGATTACATATTGATTTTGACAGCGGTGGCGTGTTGCAAATTTTCAATTAAATATTTCTAATTATTTAATCAGAGATGACATTATAATTGATTTCTACTATATATTTTAAAAATTATAAATTGAATATTTTAATTATTTAAATTAAATTTTACTATATACATAATAGATCTTACACAAAAACAAAAAAAAAATTTTTCGAAATTTAAAAAAAAAGAACATTTTCAAATAGACAATTTTTTCAATACTTTTTTCGAAACATTTATATAACAGAAGAATGTTTTGTATTAATAATTCTTGTCTTCCTAATGACTCACCATTTTTTAAAAATTTATATACGAAACATTATTAATAAATTTATGATTAAAAAATACTGTAATTTGAATTTTTTTTATTATTTTTTAATATTTAAAATAAAAATTATTTAAAATTAAAATTAAAAATACAAATATAATGTTGCCATTAAAAATACAAAAATCCGTCAAAAATAATTTTAACTCTTCAAATTTCAATTAATTTTGCTTGTATACAAATAAAACAAAAGAGAATGAAATCTCGCATAAGAAAAAAGTTCGTAATAAAATATTTATTTTAACTAAAATATAAAATTAAAATTTATTTTTCAATTAACAATTAAAAATCCCAGTATTTACAATATTAAAGTAGTACAAATTTAATGTATGGTTTTAAAAATATCCAAAAACAATCAGATTTTAAATTATGAAAAATCGAAGGAAAAAAAAACATTTTAATGATAAAATATTAACTAAAAGGTAAAGTAAGAAAATATAAATAATACTACAAAAATTACAAAAACACAATTGTGAATAATTAAAGCAAATTTTTTATGTATTTGCACAACTATTCCCTTATTACTTATTTAATAATATTAGAACAAATATAAAAACAAATCTAAAAAGGGATATACATAGTTGCCATTATGTGTATGATGAAAAAACCGTTTGAATTTGCACATCGGATGTAAATTATATAATGTTGTAACATCCACTATAGTTAAAATTACTTTTGCAGATATTTTAAGGCTTTTATCGGTAACATACATTAAAGAAAACAAAATAAATCAAATTTCCGTCAAATATTCAGTATAAATCAAAGTTCAACAACCGAACAATAAAATTTTTATGAAAGCGAATAATAAAACAGATGATTACTATAAATAAATAAATAAAAGACATAAAATTTTAAATAGAATATTAAATAGAAACAATATAATTATTTAAATAGAAAAGTTTATCAATATGTTATAATTAATGTACAAAGAACAAATAATGAAAAAAAAATTATTTTATTATATTTTAAAAATTTAAAAAAAAAATCAATATATTTATATAACTCCATAAAATTCTATATTTTTACACAAAGTCAAACACTTTACATTCATATTTCAATTATTAATACCAAATACAAATTATATTTTTTAGACATTTTACCCTAATCTAAAATAAATACCGAACAATATAACTAAATATAAAACCAATAATGACAGTATAAAAGTATTGAGAAAATTATTGTAAAATATGTTGTTTTTATCATTGTAAAATAATTTAAATTATTAATTTAGAAATATTTAGTTTATAAACTCAACTTTAAAACTTAATATGGTTTAACAATTTAGCATTTTAATTATCAAGTTGCTATTTTGACAAACATTCAATAACAAATTAAGGAAACTAGTCGTGCAATATGTACAATATGAAACCAAAATAAGCAGACAGTAAAAACAAACAGATTTTAATATTTTTATAATGAAATATTTTACAATAATTTTTAAAACAATAATATATTATGTATCACAATCAAAATATTGGCTTAAATACCAGTTTCATAACATTTATTTTTTTATATCAAAAAACATTGAATATTTTCAACCTATTTATATAATACATCCTTATAAAATCACAAAAAATAAAATAATTTTAAAAAACAATATCTTAATTCAAAAAAAAAATAAAAAAAAATATTTATTATAAAAAGAAATATTAAATGAAGAAATCATGTTTGAAAAATGAATAAAATTCAAATGAAATACTACATAAAAAAAGTAAAAATATATATAAAGAAAGTAAACTATTTTAAAACCGCTTTAATCGTACCTAACCCTTATTTAATGTATCTTTAATTAAATAATAACAAAAAACCAGAAGCTCTAAATTATAGAAATAATTTTATTGAAACCAAAGTATTACAAAACTCATGCAGAAATTAAAATGAAAACTAAAAATGAAAAAAAAAATTTAAAACAAAATTATTATTCAAAAAACACAAAAAGAGTAAAAATGAAAATTTAAAACGCGATTATATGTATATATATACATATACTTATGTATATGTATATGAAAATAACTAAAAACCAAAAAATGTATTTAGTATAGTAAAATTATTTCACAAAATATATTCAATACAAAATTAAACCAAAAAAAATTAATATTAATTAAAAAAATGTATGAAGAAAAACTAATATTACCTATACATAATACTATAAAACAAATAAATTACTCGTATATATACATACTTATATGACTTTAAATAAAAATACCATTTTTATAATGGGAATAAAATACAATATATGAATTTGTAGTTTCTTTTCCAATATACATCCATGTATATAAGAACATACACATATGTATATAATTGAGTTTAGTTCAATTAAATGTCCTTCTCTCTATTGTTACATAATATGTATATGGTTTGTTGGTTCCTAAAAAATGTTATTTAAGACTCAAAAATTAAAATCTAATTTCCAGTTACCTATCTCCCCCATTTTATCCAAATATGTAGATAGTCCTTTCGTTTTTGTTTTGTATGGCTTCTACTTATATTCGTGTGTACAACAGGTTGAATGGAATTTGGATTGTTTCAAATAACTTATATTGATGCATAAAGTACATCTGCCTGAATATAATCATGTGATTGAACGTGTCAATGTACACACGTACAATATAAACGCAATGTATTAGTCCATGATGCAGCAATAGAATATTCCTGGTGTATTATTAGCCATTGGTCGTCCTCATTCCACTTATTTAATTACATTATATCGAATTGAATATTATTTTTGCTGCATTGTTGGCTCTGTGCCAACTTCTTAACTAAATAACCATAATATGGAAACACGATTTTCTTTTTCACATTATACATTAATTGTAAATCATTTACAACTGATTTTCGTTTTACAAAACCGTTAGAGAATTTCACTGATATTTTTGAAAATTTATCAAATGACAACGCATTTGACAGCTGAATTTTGAAAATATTTTTAAAAACATTTAATGACATTTAGCGACTTTTTTTTTTGCTTTTTCATCTAATTTCAGCTATGAAAATTGTAAACAATAATATTTACTACATTATACAATAATATATACTACATGAAATAGTAGTAAAATTGTAAACAATATTTAAATTTTACTACTATTTCATAGTACAATTTTATTTTAAGTACAATAATACATAGTTCTTACTGCTTAGCAGCACTGTTTCTTTGACATGTTGCAAAGTTTCAAAATTGACAAAGTTGAAAAACATAATTTTACTTCCCTTCAATTTTGTACCTCATTCAAATTATTTCAATATTTTATGAATAAAAACAAATTTAACAAATAAATTTTTTTGGTTATCTGTGTTTGGTTATCGATTTTTAGCGACTTTTTTGATTTCGAGATTTTTCTTCAAAAACTAGGGCTACCATTTTTTTCTATCAATAACGATAACTTTAGTTACAGTTTGATAACTGCTTGTTTGATTTGTCAACTATTCCTTAAATTTCTAAATTCTTGATACTGAAATTCTTAAATTTCCTCTTTTTATTTACAAATTATTTTCATTATGTTTTTAGTAAAGACTATTAAAAAATAAGACAGCCTTGTTTACGAACGTCTTTGGCAAATTTATTAAAATGTTCATTTGTAAAAAAAATTATGCAGCCGCTCACAAAAAGTTCTCTCGTTTATCCGAAGTTAATCATATCATATAATGAAAATATATAACCTTGCAACATATAGGAATTATATTAGGAGGGCACCAAAATTAATTAAATCAAAATATGTCAGGGTCAGAGTACAAGATTATAAAATAAAATTGTATTATCAAAAGATGTAATAAAGTTATATAAAGGTCATTAACTTTAAATCTACAAAAGTAGATTTAAAGTTAATTTACGATATTTATTACGATATTACGATTATAATCTGTCAAATCTTTAGAAAATAAAAATTTTTGTGCAACAGAGGAAAATAAAGGAAGACTCAACAATCAACATATTCTTCAAATACTTTCTTTTGGTATCGACTTTTGATTGGTTTAAAAATTGAGAAACCAGAAACATATATATTTAGGCTAGCACAGTCAACTAAAGTTATGTCAATAAGTTTTCGGTTCATATCATGCAGTTCATGCACGACATTTTTTGTTTTACGGTTCATTGTAAGAGTTTCTGTTGTTGTTTAAAAATTGTTGCTAGCGTAAGCCTGTACACAATATTGTTTCGTATAGCCAAACTACATATCAACATTTACGTTGTTTATCAAGTAATGATAACTTCATTTTGCCGTAGTAAGCTATAAAGCAGCATTGAAAAGTCAACAAGATTTTATAAAAAGTAAAATAGTGTGACTAATAATCAAAGCTGCAAAAATTTCCAGAATTTGTCTAGATAAGGTAATAATAGAAATAAAATAAATATTGAATTCAATTAGCAAATGTTAAAATCAAATAAATTTTCATTCATCGTTTTGTAAAATATTGCCATGTACTTGTAGGTAGCAGTAAGGAATTACATACACCACACCCTTTAACATGCTTACTGTTTCACACCTTATCGAGGAAATACTTAAAATATATCATGCGACACCTGAATATGCTATTCTGCAGGCGGTTTTTATTTTACTTATTTCTGCATACTTAATTTTTATGAAGAATCAAAAACGGAAAAAGAAATTTACCCGCGAAGAAGAGGAAGCTATAATAGCAAATTATACACCTGAACCTCTAGTACCTGAAATCCCCGAAGACCATCCCAAGTTACACCCAAAACTAGTTTTAAGTAAAATTGGTAAAATAATTAATTTAAATGGTCATAGTTGCATAGATTTAGCGACACATAATTATTTAAGTTTGATTGGTGATAAAGAAATCGAAGAAAAAGCGATAAAATCTATTAAGAAATATGGCATAGGTTCTTGTGGACCTCGAGGCTTCTATGGAACTGTCGATGTTCACTTGGAACTGGAGCAAAGGCTAGCCGATTTCATGAAAATGGAAGAAGCTATACTATATTCTTACGGATTTTCAACAATCGCCAGTGCAATTCCAGCTTATTCGAAAAAAAGTGATGTCATCTTTGCTGACGAACAAGTAAATTTTGCTATTCAAAAAGGTATAGAAGCTTCTCGAAGCGTAGCATACTTTTACAAACACAATGATATGGAGGATTTAGAAAGATTATTAGTAGAGCAAAGTAAACGTGAAATAAAAAACCCTAAAAAAGCAGCTAAAACCAAAAAATTTTTAATAGCCGAAGGTATTTATATGAACACTGGTGAAATATGTCCCCTACCTGAATTAATTGAATTAAGAAAAAAGTACAAATTACGGATGTTCCTTGAAGAAAGCATATCATTTGGGACCCTCGGGAAACATGGTCGAGGGGTTACAGAACATTTCAATGTTGATCTAATAGATGTTGACTTAATATCAGCAGGTTTAGAATACGCTGTAGGATCAATCGGAGGATTCTGTGTTGGATCCTCTTTTATTATAGAACATCAACGATTATCAGGATTGGGTTATTGCTTCTCAGCCTCACTGCCCCCTTTATTAGCGCAAGCAGCAATAACTGCTTTAGATCGTTTTCAAGATAAACCAGAAATGTTTGAAACTTTAAGAAGTATTAGCAAAAAAATGCACTTAAAATTGAACAAATTAACTTATGTAAAAGTTCGTGGTAACGAAATATCTCCCGTGAAACATCTCTATATTAAAGATGAAGAATATGATAGGAAACAAGAATCAATGCTTTTGTCAAAAATAGTTGATTTGTGCGCGGAGCACGGATTAGCTGTTGTTGAAACCCAGTATTTAGACGAAGTGGAAATAATTCATCCCCGTCATAGTTTAAGAATTACTTGTAATATATCATTGTCTGATAGCGATTTAACTGTTATCTATGATACATTAGAACTTGTTACAAAATTAGTATTAAGTTCAAGCTAAGTATTTGCTATAATGAAATACGGACATGGCATAAATTAGTCTAATTAGAAATAAAAAATAAAAGTGTTTTTTGTACAAGTTTGTTCCTTGTCACAGATATAAGTTATAAAAGCTTTTTATGTTTCTGTTATACAATATTTAAGTGGTCTACACATTCTAAGTAATTTTAAGAAAATTGTTTCACTTTTCTGTTTGTTTTTATCTGTTTTTTTTTTTTAAGACTAAGTTACTGATTAAAGACTCACTGCTTAATTTTCAATATTTTCACTTTTATATAATATGTTAAAGAAAAGAGGAAGCTAAAAAATAATAAATTTAAATTTTTAAAAAACTTGACTTTTATGTAAAATCAACAGAATAAATTTTGTGATACAAGGATTTGTAATTATATGTATATGTACATATATTAAATAATATATATGTAATATATATATATACATATATATAAATTAATATGTATATGTATAATATTAAATAATACAATATTATACCTTTATTGAATAACAATTTTTGTCTAAATTTGAAATTTTTATTTTAAAATCTTTATCAGTTAAACTTTCGGACTGTTAACTAATCGAACTTTGGGATTCAAACTAAAACGTAAGTCTAAGAGTAAGTTTGAATAACAATCTCACCTAGTACATATATTCCATATTCCTTATTATGACCGACGAAGCGAATGGAATTTTTAGCGAATATGAATTTTTGGTATTACTTGCGAATTCGCCTAAATTTTAGGCAAATGATCTCAAATCTGTCGCATGAAAATTCTGTGTGACAAGCTTGCCGAAAAATTTTTTAACTGTCATTGTAAATTACCTTTACAATACGCAACTTGAAATATTAAAATGAAAAAGGTTTTTTTGGCAATAAGGAACTCAAGGTCTATCAAAAAAGATATTTTCAAAACTGTTATTTCATCAATTTAATATGCTTGAGTTTTCCAAAGCACTGTTATATCCTAAGATCTGTGTAACGGTAAATAATATCAAGCTTATTTTAAAAGAGATTTTTGAAGTTCAAATGATGTCACAAATGTAAGCATATTGTCTACACACACATATACATTATAGGAAGAGCCAATTCATTATTGCTGCAGAAAAACATTTTAAACGATGTTGACATGTACATATGTAGATAAAGATAAATTACAATCTAATTAAGGCACATTTCAATTTACTTCAAAATATTTTAATTAATTTTAATAAAAATACAATTTATTACGTTAAATACTTACATATACAAAAGTACATTCTTCAAACTTAGATTTTAAAGAATTTTTAAAGTTTATAAGGTCCAATTTGAGCAATTTTAGCCAATAATATTGGTATGTAACTTTGCTCATAATTACCTACGAAGAGTTGAGCCTGAGGTCCTTTGGCAAATATAGCAACATCTTCTCCACCATGTGTTTCCTTTTCTAAGGGTACATGACTCGGATAGTTATATTCAGCATCTTCAAAATCATCCCTTTCTATGTCTCTTTTTTCCGTACCATTTTTTGGGAAAATCGTATAAAAACCATCCCCATTAGCGTATGATAATATTGCGTATTTTTTTCCTTTATCATCCAGTGAGTCGCTTAGTCCTAATATATTTGAATTTCGATTCTAAAAATAAACATTGAGATTTAAATACAACCTAAAATATAAATCATTATGAGGTATAATTAAATAACAATTAAGCTATGATGTGATTTATAAATTTCTTATTAGATGTAAGATTACATATACAAGAGGGTAAAATATAGTTATTTAGAAACTATTTTACAGTTTGATTGTAAAAAGAAACTTACAGGATAACCATTAACAGTCATCGTATGAGAATGATCTGATGTTACAATAATTAGTGTTTCATCATCTCCGTCAAACATTTTATTGGCTATTTCAACAGCATTTGCGAATTCAACTGTTTCTTCTAATGCTTTTCTAGCTTTAACATAATGATGAGCATGATCGATCCTTCCACCTTCTACTAATAAAAAGAAACCATTTGAATTTTTGCTTAAAATTTTTAATGCTGTTTCCGTCATTTCACTTAAACTTGGATCTCCTTTATCTGTAAATGAACGAATTCTATCGCCATGATATGGTAAGTGATCAGGACTAAAAAGCCCAAGTAAATAATCAATTTTGCTAGTATCAGTGGAAAGTAATTCTTTACGATTCCAAATATATTTAGCATTAATATTTTGTTTCTTTTTATCATCTAACCATTCTTGAATTAAATTTTTCCCATCTTGTCGAGTACCAGTTTCACCTTCCTCTCCGCGCATACTTTCGTTTAAAAACAATGATCTTCCACCACCTAAAATTACTTTAAAATTTTTTCCAGTGTCCCCGTGAATCAGTTGATACGCTATGTCTTTAATACTATAACTTTTGCATTTTTCGGAAATCCATGTATCACATTCCCAATCACGATGTGCAATGGAAGCATATGTACCAGCTGGTGTGGCATGTGTTACTCTTGTTGTAGTTACAATACCCGTTGACATATCCGAATCTTGTGCCCATTTAGCTATACTGTCAACTCTATTTTTGACAACTTTTGTTTCATCACATGCTCGACTTTCTACCTCTGCCGTCACTCCAATCATATCAATATTATTTTTAACACCAGTAAAATAAGCAGTTGCACTACAAGCAGAATCAGCCACTTGTGCATTAACACAGTAAGTTTTTGAAAGACCAACATATGGAAATTTTTCAAAAGATAACTGGTGTGAAACATCTTTTAAATATGCTCGAGTTGCTGTTAATGTATGAACGGACATACCATCTCCTAAGAAAAATATTATATTTTTTGCTTTTTTCTCATTCTTATTTATAGCTAATTTCTCTTTTATTGCTTTTTGAGCATTTTCAATCCAATATTCTGAATTTAATTCAGCACTATTAATTTGGCTAGTATCGAAAGGAACCAAATCTGGATGCATACGTTCTTCATCATTCTCAGTTAACAAATCTGTTGTTATAAAAAGCAATATGAAAATAAAAAATTGTTAAACATTTTAGAATCTTAATTATAACTACTTTCTCCTCCACATTTAGTTGTGATATTCAAAAGTACCCAAATTATTAAAAATTTGAAGACCGTAGTCATTTTTCCCTTCTTTTAAAACTTTCACGTTGGTGATTAAAGTTAAACTGAACCAAAAAAAATTTAATGCGATTTAAGCTTAAAACACAATTAATTAATTTTTAATGATTACCAACAATAAATGTATAATTTAATTCCTTTTAAATTATGATAGCTAGGATAAGTAGATCCACTTGAAATTTTTATAACATAATTTGATATACTATACCGATACACATACATACTTATTTACTTGAAAAATACGAAAGTTAAACAAAACTCAATAATCGAGCCGCGATTCTTTTATTTACGGTTAAGTGCTATTATAAAAATTTGGTCAGGTATCTTTAATAAACCAACAAGAGATTATCAATTAAATTTCGGAATTATTATTATTATCATAATTTATTAATAAATTAAAGGTTAATATATATTGTATTTTATTTTTGTATAATTATTCCTATATTTATCTCGTTATCACTCAAAATTATTTGATAGATAAATTAAAATTCATTTTTATACAGAATTGGGGAAACTTTATTTAAGGTTCCGTCATAAATTGTCATTCAAGGACAATAGAATTGTAAAGTTAGTGATAAGTCATTCACCGGATGCAATGTCAACTTTTAACTTAGACAGTAAAAATAATTAAATTTACTATTATAAGTGCAATGAATTTGTGGTGGGAAAATGTAAAAGACTACAGATGGCCCTACTAAAATTAAACTGAATTTTCTTTTATAATTTTATTTTCGTTGTGGTAAAATTAACGGAAATAAAATATAAATAAATTCCATATAATGCTTAATCATTCCACTTAATTTATTGAAACAATTTTCAAAATCTTCACTTAATAATTTGTTATAAGAGTGTATAACGCAATTTAAATGTATAATTTAAGTTTAAATTGCTTAATCGCCGATCAAAAATATTTGACAATTCAATGAAAATATACGTATATATATATAATTATTTATCTTGAGTGCTCAATTAAATTTTTTTGAAATTTTAACAAAAATCGTGATAGATTAAATTATCAAACTCAAGAGACGCATAATGGCTCGTGCATAACTGTAAAATTTTTTAATCTGTTTTTGTTTCAAATTACTGCTGTATAATCGAGAAAACACTAAATTCAAATGTTAACTTTTATTTTTTTCCTGTAGATGACGGAGTCACTATACGTGCTCTTCTCACGTTGATCCATAGGATCTTGTGTAGGTCCCGGACAAATTGCGGCATAGCAGTCACCTGAAGCCTTCCATCGAAGTCACAAAATTCCTTCTGAAGTATCTTAATCGTATGCGAGCTACTGTCTCTCATTCATACAATTTCGTCCGCCTTGCCCGTACTTTTCAGATGGCGATTGAAAGGTAATGTTCAGTGTCGCTCTCCTCTGGCCAAGATAACCAGCTTTCTCATTTCCGTCTATGCCGCAATATCTCGGCATCCGCATCAAAGTAACCTTATTATAAGTTATACCTTGAAATGATAACTTTAATTATATTCTTAAATTTTGAGTTAACCAGTGAAAAAGAACTATTTAGACTTTGCATTCCTTCAAAATTTCTCAAAAACGGACTGACAAATTAATACTCGTAACACCCTTCGAATATAATTTATTTTCGTTCCGAAAATTTTTTCACTAGGAAGCAAATATTTCAAAGTATGTATAAGATTAAAAAATCAATTATAACACTTTAATAACAATGTTGTTTAGATTAATTTAAGAACTGAGGGCAAATTAACGAAAAAAACAAAGAAATTTGATTTCAAGATCCAACGAAAATTTGTAAATTTTGTTATACTACTTACAGTACTTCCATAAATCCACAGTTAATTCAATTAAAATACTTCCATTGTTATCCTCATAATTAAAACATAAGGTAACCGTTATTGAAAATTATATTTTAAGAACCATTATATTATTATTGCAGGTAATTAACAACAAAAGACGCGCAAACAAAAAATTGTCCATAAAATTATGTAAGAAATAAAAATTTATAATAAGACCTAATCATAAAAAAAAACTGGCTACTGTTATCATAATAATATAAATTTATTTATTTTTCAAAAATCATTATTTTATTGGTTTTCGAAGATTTATTAATAAAGATAACATTATTTTTATAATTTTTATAAAATAATCTTAATATTCTCGTGTACCTCATATAAATTTTTTTACGAAAAGCTCAAAGGAATTTGTTTTAAATTAAACTTGAAAATATCCAAGCAAATGGGTATGAACCAAAACCATAAATTCAATCTATATTGTGAACACACATTATCAAATTTCAAACTTCAATGTTTACTTGTGTTGTTAAATAGTTTATTACGATTAAAACCTACAATTAATTCAAAAAAATAACTATATGCAAATTAATTGTTAGCACAATGTTTTAATCCGTCACCAATACAAGAAGCATATGCCATTAAATGAGGTAGAACATTTTGTTCATAGACTCCTGTAAAAAGATGTGCCCATGGACCAGATGCAAATACAGCAACATCTTCGCCACCATGTGTTTCACTGTCTCTAAGTGCTGTCGCTGGAAATAATGCTTTAGGATTTTTAGAATCAATTATTACTGTAGGATCATGTCTTGCATTATTTTCAGAATTTATATAGATGTCAGCTCCTTTACCATTTGCGTAATTTATGGTTAAGAATGGTAAATCATCTCGATCACTTTCTGCTGCAGTACCAAATATATCATTATAACGATCCTTAAAATTTAAAAATCACAATAAAAAAAACACAATAATTGGATGATAATATGACCTTAACATATGAAGAGAAATTTTCAATAATTTTGCAAAAAAGAAATGAAAGTTCAAATTTAATATACAAAAAATTAAAATGAAAACTTACAGGATAACCAGCAATTGACATTGTATGGGAATGATCTGAGCTAACAACAATCAAAGTATCACTTTCACTTGTCATTGTCCTTGCTTTATCAATAGCGTTAGAAAATTCAATTGTTTCATTAAATGCTATTTGGGCGTAAGTACTGTGATGTGCAACATCAATTAAACCGCCTTCAACAAATAGAAAATAACCATTTTCATCATTTTTATTTTGTAATAATTTGATAGCTGTTTCTGTCATCTCTTCTAATGATGGCTCATAATCTTTGGCTTCCATTTTATATTTCATATGCCCACTATTAAATAAACCTAAAAGTCGGTCAGTTTTTTCTACATCAACATTTGATAATCCTTGACGATCAAACACAAAGGTACGATTTTCATTATTTTCATCACCGATTGATTTCCATTCTGCAATCAAATCTCTACCATCTGTTCTTGCATTTTCTAAACCAATTTCATCATTCATTTTTTTATCTCGAAATTCTCTACGCCCGCCACCTAATACAACCGTCATTTCAGATCCGACGTCACCATGTATTAATTGTACAGCAATATCTTTAATTTTCTTATAATTTTCATAATTTTTACAGTTTTTCTCTATTTCTTCATTGTTTTCCCAATTTCTTTCAGCAATATGTGCATATAGACCACCAGGTGATGCATGCGTAACACGTGTTGTTGTTACTAGACCAATTGATTTTTTTTTATCTAAAGCCCATTTACCAATAGATGTTGTATAATATTGTTCTTGTAGTGTGGCTTCACAATCTTTACGTTTAATATTTCCATTAACACCTAATGTACCATAATTTGCTTTCACACCACATAAATATGAAGTTGAAGTTGACGCTGAATCTGGAACAATTTTATCAATTGCATAAGTTTTTGCTAAACCTATATAAGGAAAATGTTCAAATGATAATGAATTTTCTTCTCCATATTGATAGACACGGCTTGCTGCTATTGTAGAAAGTGATAAACCATCTCCAATAAAAAAAATCACATTTTTAGCAATATTTTTATTTTCTTTTAATTTTCTTTGATCTTCAACAAATTTTTTGCCTTTTGTAATCCAAAATTCCTTTGTTTTCTCTTCAGAATTAATTTTATAATTATTCTTTGAATGTCGTTCAGTCAACTTAGCTGGATGTTCTGGATTTGGTATTATTCCAGAAATTGAAATTTGTAATAAAGTAAAAAATATTAATATAAAATAAAATCTCATTTTCCGATTAATTTATTAAATTTAGTTAATATTTCTTCAGGCAATTGTACAATACTAAAACTGATTTTAATTAAATTATAAATTTATTTAAACATACATATGCATATATTAATTATATACATTATGTTTGTATTTATCTGATTTTGTAGATTATTTCTTATCAATACAATATTCTAGTTAAAGACTTATAATAAATTCAAATGAAACCATTTTGTATTAAGAAAATGTTGTTGTAGGTATGATCATTTTGCTTTTACATGTTATAAATTATTAATTAAGGTATTAAAAATAATTGTTAAAAGATGTAGAACAAAAAATTTAACAATAAGAGTAATAAAATTCAATTCACTACTAATTTTTAAACCAAATTTTCTATTTTATAATCTCCAAAACTCATAGTAATTGCTGCAAGATTATGAAGCTTATTAATTATCAAAGAAATGTTATGAAGCTCTATGAGATTTAGTTTGATTTGAAAGAGTTTCTTTTTCCGATAAGATCAATTATTTGCAAATAGAATCTTGAAGAACTGAGAATTTTCTACAATTTCCCCCAAATTGTTATAAATTAAATTCATAACCTTAAAAGGATTACAATAATAATTGAAACTACATTTGCATGTGTATAAAACATCCAGCATTTATTTTCTTTTCATTTTATTTTTTCTATATACATATATTTATATGCATATTCATAAATATTATTTTATTTACCACAATATCTGTGATTCTAATAATTATGTACTTTAATTTAATTATTAAAAAAAAAAATATTTTACCTATTTGATAACTTGCTTATTTTTTCATTTCACTTACTTATCTAATTAAGTATACGATTGCTTACAAATTTAAATATAATTAAAATTAAAATTGAAATTATAATTTTACAAAAAAAAAAAAAAAATTAAATTAAAAACTTACATACAATTATTATAATTCTACATTAAATTAATTTTCTTTAAATAAGTCTTCGTTGTTCTACTTTTATTTTTTATATAGAGAAGAACTGAAACATTTAAAATTCTTTTTACTATTTATTTTTTTAATTAAATAATTATATACTTTAATTAATTCAACTATTTTATATTATAATGCCCTTTAACCAATATGGCAGAGCAGAAAGAAAAATAAAATTCATTTAAATTCTATTGAAATTTACCAAGTTTTTAAATAAAATAATATTAAATTTCAATATGCTTGTTGTTCATAAAACAAAAAAATAATGTTGGTTTAATTTGTAGTTAATATGTTTCTTTTTATGAATAGGATTTTTAAATTAATAATTCTTATTAATAAACTAATTGAAATATTTAAAATTTTTGTGCCTAAATAATAAAAAGTGTATTTTAAAGTTTCAAAATGAAACTTTAAGATTTTAGATACAAGAGTTTAAAAAACTAAAAATTCGTATTTTGAATGCAATACCTAATAACTTTTATTAAAAATTTGTAATTAAATTATTTATTATAAAACACTATTAACTAGTCATTAAACCAGCAGGTGAAACTCATAATAATATATAAATGAAATATACAAATTTTTAAAATATAAATTTTTGCTTTTTTTTTTTTCTTTTAATATATGTATACATAATTATAATGATAATTTCTTTTTTTTATAGACAATTAAAGCAGTTACATATAACGATTAATTTAAATTTATAATATTATTAATAGTCGATTTTTTTCTTTTTTTTTTTGTAATTTGTAATAATAATAATCAATAAAAATTTAAAACAATACATTTTATAATATCTATAATATAATGATAATGGCGTTTTCGTTTTCATTTCTTATTATAATTTTTTAAGTTCTTTTTTTTTTCAAAAATTTTAGCAAAATTTCATTTTATTATATAATTAAATTGTTAATATTTATATGTATGTGTAATAAATTTAGATTATTTGATATATTATTTAATATAAAAAAAAAAGTTTTTTTTCAATAAAAAAAAATATCTCTTTCTTTATAAAAAGCTACCTAAATTTTATATATTTATATGATTTAAAAAATTTTCAAAAATTCTTTATATTAAAATGTATAATTTTTAATTAATTATTTATTATCTAGATATAAATACAGTAATCAAATTTGTATTTTTTATTTAATATTTAATTAGAAAAATAAGGTACCAAAAACAAAATTTCATAATAACGATGAAAATAAAAAATTGTTACTGAATAGATTGTGGTGTTAAAAAAATTTCGAAACGCATTAGTCAATTTTATAACAACAAATTTTTCCAATGAAGAACACGATTTAATAATGAATAATTATGTATTTTCAGAAATTAGAGAATTCCTAATTAAGGTATAAAAAAATTTCTCTGACTCTAACTTTAATAAATTCAAAACAGTTTTTAAAGAGCTTTAGTTTTTAAGCCAAACTGAACTATTAAAATTTAAAAAAATATATTTAATACTTTTTAAAATATTATTTAGGCATCAATTTTGAAAATGGAATTCTCTTTTGCATGTAAAAAAAATAAAAATTTTACATATAAAATGTCCTCAAGATATGCTTTATAAATGATATAAAACATTTTGATATAATTTTATAATCTTACAAAATAATATATTAGAAACTCTTTGAATATTATTGTAAAAATATGGCATTTTTTTCTTGTTTTATTAAAACTAAAACAAATAAAATCAGTCTATCGAAAATAAAATATAAAATTATTATGACTCCACATAATGGGAATATTAAGTCAGGCCATTTGATACAATGTGATAATTAAATTCAATTCTTGTATTGATATTACTAGTTAAAGAAAAGTTAAATTAAAAAAACAAATTGTGTGGTTCAACAAAATATTGAAGAGCAAATAAAAATTCTATTTAATTTCTGAGAAAATCATAATTAAATATGATTTGAATTATTGCCATAAATAGAATAGATAATAAAAATAAGACAAATTCAATATAATAAATTAATAATAAAGGACAATTTTTTTTTTCATATGTATGTATGTACGTGTTGAAAAGGGCGGAATGGTATACAATATTATAAATTCAGTTCCTTTGCCCATCACCATTTGGGTCAATATAAGATATTATACTTCCTTGACTGCTATCATCTTCATGTTCAAAATTTCCACTATTACCACCACTACTACCATCATTTACTATACCTATAATAGCCGCACCAACAACATTTGTAATGTCAGCCTTTTTACTAATAAAATCTCTTTGTTGTATTTGAAAAGGTTGCTGATGAGAAAATTCATTATCATGATCATTATTTGTTATTTTACCACCTATAATGGCTTCCGTTTCACCGTATGTGGTATCCGTTATTACAGAATTTGATTCTGCAATTAAATTACATTCTATATCTTCTTTCATACCACAATTATTTGTTGTATTTTCTCGATTATTACGTTCTTTTCTTCTTGTTATCCTTTGATATAGTTCATCTAAAGATGTTTGACTTCCATCTATTATTTCTTCATGATCCTGGGGTAATAAACAATCATTTGAACAATTATTAAAATCATCAAAATCAGGATCATCCTCCACATCACTTATTTCTGAGGATTGATAAGGATAAAAACAATGTTCATCACCAGTTAATGTTAAATTAAGGTCATTATCTGCCTGTGGAGCATATAAACCATGACTTCGTATACTTAATTCGGAATTTTGGTAATTTAAATCGCTTTCACATGTAGGACTTGATGTAAAATTTCGCCGCAGTGACTGTGAAAATAAATTTAAAGAATCAGAATTATTATTTGTATTACCAGTACTTGTTGCACTTTGGCTATTATTTAAACTACTTGTTGATATATCATCATCTGGAACTGGTATTATTGAATCTTCAGCTAAAACTATTGGTTTGCGGCGATCTGCTGGAGATGGAAGATCATCTATATCACATAAGCTAGGTGAAAACAGTATTGGGCTACCACGATCTAATTGTTGGTCTATTTTTTGCTTTTGATGTAATTTATTGAAGGACTGTTCTCTTCGATTGATAGTTGGTGATTCATTTGAATTATTTAGTTTTTTTGGTGGTAAATGAGGTTGTGTTATGGCGCATAATATTTCATCAGCACCTAACTGAGATAAATTTGTACAAGATATAGAACGTATCTGAGTTTCATGAAAATTATCATATTTTTTAAATTTATTAGAACTACCACTACACGTTAAACTATTATCATAATTATCATTATTTAAATCTAGTTCTAACATTGATTTAGATTTCTTTGATTGTTGGCAATTTGATATATAAATTTCTTCCGAATCAGGATGATAAATAGCAACCTTATCCCGAATTTCTAATGCTGGAGATATATACGCATCATTCTTTGATAAATCCAATTTATTATCTTCAATGCTTGCGTTAAGTGCATTACTACTACCGCAACTTGAGGCCAACTGATCACACAAATTATTACTTTTTATTGTACAAATGCTGCTATTCGCATCTGTTTTAATACTAGGTAAACCTAGTGTATTCATAGCAAGAATTGGACTATTTAAAGATAAAATTAAATGCTCATTTACGTTTGAATTATTGCTATCACTGCCGTTACTTATGCTATTATTAATTGAAGTCTGAAGTTCTAAGAATGCCGGTTGAACTTTGTCCTTTGGCGATATTAAAATATCTGAATTTTTCTTCAGAGTGTTCGATATTTCTTTTTTATTTTCAGGTAACATACTACTTTCCGTTGGGATATCTACTTGACTATTTTCTACAATATTCCGAATATTACCATTTACATATAAGGGAACACCAATTCGTTCGGAGTTATTATTTCCTTGAGTATTTAAATCATTATGTATTTGAACTTCCAAATTTTCTTGAACTGATTCATCTTCTTCCATTAAGCAATCTATGTTATGAGACCTCCGTTTAAATTTCTCATCTGATTTCATGGTTACAATTTCGTGTTGCGGTTGTAAAGTTTCTGGAACATTAGTATAAATATTTGCTACCATTTCTGTATTATTTACTTTATTTCTTGTGGCAGCCAAAACTCTTAATCCTTCAGCTCCTAGGACAAGGCGTTCAGCTTCACAAATCATGTCGCTTTCATTACAGCTGTCAGAAAGAATATTAGGATTATTACTCTGCTGTCGAGATTCTTTCGTGAAACCACTTCCGCCCGGAATATCTTGTCGAACATGAATATTAGTATTGTTAACTTTACTACCTGTACTGAATATAGACATAGCACCACAAATATTAGGAGTAACACCTGATGGTTGAGATTGTCGTTGCGGACCATGATGAGATTCTCTTGGGTATGTTACGGCACTTGCAGGACTAAAACCAATTGTGGATGATATATCACTTGCAGCATCACAAAAGTCACTCGCTCCACCTAAACCACCTCTATCCATTTGTCTTTGTAGTTCAAAGTTATTTCGTTTCGCAATACGTTTTTGTTTTTTAAAAAATTTTCTTGCAACGTTTATTTGGTTTGGATTATAAAATATTTCCGGATTTGGTATCTCTTGCGTCATTATAATTGGATTATGAACATATTGTGCTGCATTTCCACCAACATTGTTTCCGGCTCTCTGCATAACTGTTACGCCAGTTGAGGTGTTCATCAAAATTTTATTGGGACTTTCTGTTCTAGTTACAGGGGCTGCTGTATTTAAATCCGATATTGTTTTCAAATGATTTCCAGATGCGGAGTTTGGACGTGTTTTTGAACATTGACTGTTAGACCTAGATCCAGAAATCGAATTTACGGTCGCATTACAGGGTGCATGATGATATACAACAGCGCTTAACTCTTTTGTATCGCTAATACTTCTTGTTCTTCTACAGCATCCATTTCTCTTTCCTCCCTGATTTCGACGACAAAAATTTTTAAAAGACCATTGTGACCACTGACATCTCACGTCACTTCGTGAAACACAATAAAAAAATAAAATAAATAAACCCAATAGTGATGTTAATATGGCATATAGAATGCTAAACACCTCTTCCTCATACAACATCCCACGATCCTCAAAAGGCGTCACAACACTTGCTGCTGCAGATAACCAACAAATACAATAGATAAGCACAAAGATGAAGTGGGCTCTTAATTGAACTATATTCGTGTGTTCGGAATCATCTTGTATACTGGTTGCTGGAGAACTTAGCGTTATCGATCTATTATAATTTGATTGATTCAAAACCATTCCATTTTGATTTGATTCTAAAAGTTCAATATCAACATTTTCTGTAGCTTGAGTTCCTTCGGAAAAATGATTTTGATTATCAGCAACTATGCGAATATGGCATCGCACACATATAAATAAAATCGATAAGAATACTAACAGAATTATTGATGGCACAAATATTGCGCTTAACGAAGGACCATTACCAAAGAAACAATAAGCATAAGAAGAATATTCTCTCATATTTACAGCCCCCGAAATTCCGCATATAATCAGTCCGATACCCCATCCTACTAGATATATTCCCAAAATTGGTTTCCTTCCCACGTTTTCCTTAGGTATATCATCAACAGGCACGCGATTTCGTTTTGACAAACGTTTATACATGTTACTAACACTAACACAAACCCAAAGTAACACGCATAGACTAAAGTAATGTATGCTAATTCCAAATAATTGACAATATCGATAATCTTCAGTTTGATAGATTCCTAAAGCAAATACTGTAACTAATAATGAAACAGCAAGCCACGTATTAACTAAAGCATGACGTTGACGTCTCGCCATTAAAATTGTGCTACCACTTGACAAATACGTCACAATATTTATCCAGCAACAAATAAATAAAATTATACTTCCTATATAAAATCCTAATGGGGAGATTCTAAATTTGGCACCTGCATTTTCATCTGGAAAGTCATTTAAATACTTGTTATTTTGCAACAAACCGTAATAGCCTAATCTATAACAAGAAAATACTAATAGTCCATGAAAATAATATGAAGTTTGACATCCATGCATTGTCCAAGATAACGTAACTGGATCCCACCAAACCGGAACTGGCCCACTTACATCGTTATGATATGGTCTAACACGTAACATGACAGATATTGGTTCGCTTAAATTACCAGAAAAGTCTATTGAATCTGATAAAATTTTTACCCCAATTACACAAGATGTCACTTGATAACTTGTGTTATTTTTATGATATGGTAATAAATTACTATTTTCATATACAGCAACCATTAATTTTTGAGAAGAGAAGAGAAACTTTTGTTTATAAGAACTCAGCAAACCCATCGGAATTTGTACGGATGCATCAACATGCTGCCGAAAAATATCTATAGTTTGACCTGCTGTATTACATTGAAACACCCTTGGATTCGGTTTTGAGTTATCTCTTGAATTTAAATTTTCAGTCTTCATCCATGTGCATATCAATCCATTAAATGAATGTGGACTAATATTAAAATATTCTATGGCTAAATGTGGTTTATGAGTTAAAGATGAAGGTGTATGTTGAGCAACTTGTTCTACAGCGTATACCAAACTTTGTCCTGATTTTTCGATAGAGTGTGCTTGTTGTGCTAAAACTCGGGGCAAAGTGATGATTTGTGAAACTATATCTAATAGCATTGTGCCTAAATCCTTTTTGAGACTCACAAAATGCAAATAATTCTTTAAGGTTTTTGTAATGAAAACTAAATCCATTGGATCTCTTATTTTTTTAAGGTTATCATCCGATTGTGTATAGTTTCTTAACCGGGTAGCACTTTCCAATGCACGATCTTTAGATCCTGCTAAATCAAATTGAGAAAATTGCTGAAAAATTCTTGTTATTTCGCTGATGAATGGGCAGGATTCTGTATTTAAATTATTCCATTCACCATTTTCATTACATTGAAAAGAAGCAAAAGCTTCAAGGGGTGTTTCACCAACACATGGAACGCGAACAGTTTTACCTCTTATAGTTCTTGGCCAAAAATACTTCCCTTTGTTATTCTTGATTACATGAGCTGGACAATACTTTGTAGTATTTGATATCACAATTACAGAAATAGATCTTGACAAATTAGCTTGTTGACTTCGCAAACGGCAATCCCACATTCCAGAGTGAATTCGTGTTACATTTGGAATTCTTAAAATAGAATCCAAAAGCCCTGAATCAGATAAATGTTTGGCTTCAATTTTAATTGATTGAAATTGTATGCTTGGATCTAAATAATGAATATCTTCGGTTGAATTAGGATCTACAATTCTTTCAGACCAACCCCAAAATACGTGCGAACGTGCCGGCAAGTCTTCAGAATCTTTTGCTGCACCAACAGCTACACGTGGCGCTCTACATCTTAAAATTAGCTCGTCACCTTCAAAGACAAGCTGAAAATTAAAAAGAGAACAATAAGTTGTATTTTAAGTTTTGAAAAGTTGAAAATTTTGTTCATACTTGGTCAGTATCGGGTTTCAATTCTAAAAGCGGTTGAAGAGGAGATTCGCAATGCAAATCCGATCCAACTTGAAGTTTTTTCAGCTGTATTCCTTTGAAAGGGGATGGAGTTTCACATTTTGGGGGTGGTTGCAGTTTCACTTGATATATATTAGTCCATGAAACTAACCACAATAAATCACAATCACACGCCAGAGGATTTCCAGATATATCACTAAAAATTAAATTTTTTATTTGTTGAATTAAACACTTAAAATGTATGTTACATCTGCTTTAATCCCTTTAGTTTCTCAAAAGATCCTTGCAATATATGTTCTATTAAATTTGAAGATAATTTTAATCTTTCCAAAGCTGGAATTTCGCCAAATACACTTTCATCAATTTGCTTTAATTGGTTTGATGTTAAATCTAGTCGTTTCAAAGCTGTATAATTAGCAAAATCGTTCTTATCAATATATGAAATAAGATTTTTGCTTAAATCCCTGAAATTGTTAATAAATTTAAATATGATTTTATTAAAGATCTAGGTGTATTTTAACATTTTGCAAAACAATTAATTTGTAAACTGTTTGTGAAAAACAAAATTTGCCTTTTGTTTGAAAAATTACAAACTGCATATTCAAAAAAAATTGTTTTGCAATTATTTTCTTTTTATAACATACAGTTGCACAACATTTCCAGCATCAAGTCCAAAATTTATTTCCTTAAAACTATTAATCTTCTTAAGCGGTGTTCCTCCACATTTTACTTTCAAGCTTTCACCAGTTTCACTTAATTTTTTGCATTGGCAAATTTCCGGGCATATAGATTCTACAGAGCCAACTACGCATATCACCAAAATGGTTATTATTACATTATTCTTTTCATCCAATTTCATTTCGTTTTTGTAATTAAAACGAAAATTAAACATTTTAATACAACATCTAATGTTTCAAAATTTTTTAGTCTATCATTTGCTCTTTAATTCATATATTTCCTAATATAATTCGAGAAACATACAAACCAGTTCTAAAATAAATTAACATTTTATATTGTATATAAATTTTAACATGGAGTTTTTGAGAACAAAACAAATGTTTTCTTCTTACCACATCCAAGTAAAAACTGGGCAGTTATTCTTAACTATAAATAAAGCATTTTAAAGTTTTTCAAAATAACTTAATTTACATAATAAATAATTGTTTTTATAAAATATATTTATTTTTAAACGAATTTTAACAAAAAGAACATAAATGCACTGAAAAAGTTTATGTACATGTCTTATCTTTTCAAACTGTCAGAACTTGTAAAAAATATGTACTAAAATAAAGCAAAATTCAGTGACAGCCACATGGGGAGATCTGTGAATTACGTTAACATGTTCATAAAATAGAAGAGCTTATAAAATTTTATAAAAATATGTGATTTAAATGAGTTATTCTTATTGCTTTGATGTCTTTGAATAAAATGTTAACTTCAAGCGATTTAAAAACAAAGAAGAAAGAATTTTTTGAAACAATAAATTATAAAGATAATCCTAACACATTTCCTAATGATATTTTTAAGAATGAGCTTATGAAAAAGAAAATAACATAAACGAGTTCAGTTGAAAACACAAAACAAGTGTTTTCTTTTCTAAATAATAAGTGTTTGGAAAAATATCAAAATATTGAAAATTAACGAAGAAGGAACTGTTGTACGAATTGTAATTAAATATAAATAATTCTATATCTCTCTGCGCATAAACATAAAATTAATTTAAGCAAAAAAAAATTAAAATGTCTGAGAGAAAATTTGTAGCAAAAAAGTATTTTAGTACTACTTTTTTCAGAATGGTTTGCGTCTTTGAATAGTGTCCGTAGATTGTTTTGAAAAAAATTCTTTCAAAAATTTGACAGCAAAAACATAATAAATTATTAAATGAATACGAGACACAATTTCCGAAAAAGCTTTACTAAAATTACCGTTGAAATGCTTGACATTTAATTTTGTGTAAACAAAAATTCAAATAATATTCACCGGTTCTTGTTCTTGTTCCTACAAATTTGCGAATTAAGAAAATGGTATTTTATTCTATTAATAAAAAATGTTTTGAGAAATAACTTGTATTTCTTTTTTTTTTTTAGGAATCCTTATTGGAAGGGCAAGAAACCACAGGAAAATTTCAAGACGTAGTGCTTTCTAAAGTACAAAGTCTTCTTTTTGTTGTTCTCAAAAAAACTACGAAATATTACCCATCCGAACTTGATGCTAAATCACAGTTCAACCAAATGAAAAATATATTTTGTTATTTAGATGAGTGTGCATATAAAATTGCCAATATAAATTTAAAGAAGTCTACAAAAATTAATTTAGAAAGCTCATATTTAGCGGATGGAGGTTTTGAGTGCATAAACGAAACTTGCAAAACTATTAAATATAACTTAAAATTAAACAGAAAAAAAGGTAATTACCTATGATCTCAACAGAAAATAATAATTTAGTTACCTATTTTCCTAATTTAAATAAACACCGATACTTTGCAATGAAAAATATTCCAAATAAACTATAGTCACAATACATGCTATGTACATTTATAAATATGTATGTATATAGATGTTATGTAATTGTAGTTTTTTAAATCTCAAATATTGTACCGCAACATTACATGTACATAAGTATGTGTACTTTTTTTAAATTTTATTTTTCAGTAAACAAACTAAAATTAAAAAATGCGGAGCTGAAATCTAAACTTGCAGACGAACGATTTAAATCAAAAGTTCTTTTAAAAATGACTAAATATTTGGCTTCCAAATATTATGAAAACGAACAGGAAATTAATGACAAAGTAGCTGAAATTGAAAATTTTCAAGAAAAAAACCTGCAGTTGGAAGCAGACCTGGAAAACATGATTGCTAAAATGAATGTTATTCGTGAATGTAGTACATTTGCAGAAAATACTCAGTAAGAGTAAACTGAAAACAGTAATTTTATTAATATAGGTATGTGCTAATGGTGGAAAGTTTTATTTAAAAAAAAATACAAAAATAAATATTATTGCAATAGATGTACTATGTAGATATTATGCGTATAAGTTTTTATATACACATGCAGTGCACTTTGTTTAGATCAGACTATTCGAGTTCAAAATCTATCTACAAATATTTGATGAATTTTTATTTTACACTAAACTATTTCATTCAACTAGTTACTCTAATTCTCTAGAATGCTTTACCACTAAAAAGAACGTATTTTTTCATTTATGCGATTTTCATGAAATAAGAATTATTTTACGCTTTAAATTTCGTTCATACTTTGAAATATTTATTGTTTTAACCAAATCTGTTATTATTTTTATTTATTTTGCTAAAAATAATAAAAAAAAGAACAATGGATTCTAAAAATATGAAATGAAATGGAAATTGGAAAATGTTAGATGGGAAGTTTCATTACAGGCAAAGGGAAGATATACTCTATTGCCAGTCTATTATTTCAATTTATCTATGGTATGCACATGAGTAGCTTTAGCTTAAATTCTGACATAAGAAAAATATTTAACAACCGCGGTTTAAATTCTTTTATTTTTTAGATATTTTGACATATCGCATGACATCAGTTGGCAAAAAGTTTTTTGACATTATTGGCCAGGTTGGTTGTCACTGTCAAAATAAATTTTGTTATTTTGTTTTCATCTATCAAATTTGTTGAATTTTTTGTATGTATAATTTTCAAATTTTTTTAAGTTTATTTAAAGTTATCGTAAATATTAAAGTATAATAAAGTTAAAGTAATTATGAATAATCTACGTCAAATATTTAGTATGCGTACATTAATCGCAATACAGCAAAATTTGTTTGCTTCAAATATCGTAACACAAGTTTTCAGTCATAATCCACATTTTACATATGCATATCAATTTTTAAGACCATCATATTGTGAATTTCCGAGATATTTAGCACAGCTAACTAACGTGACCAAAAAAGATGATAATGATAGCAAAGATCAACCAGGAAATAATTCTGTGCCATTGGCGCAATTAGAATCAAAACTACAATTAGTTTATACCTGCAAAATTTGCAATACAAGAAGTATAAAAATAATTAGTAAACAGGCTTATCAAAAAGGTGTAGTTATTGTGAAATGTGATAGTTGCAAAAATAATCATCTAATAGCAGATAATTTGGGCTGGTTTGCCGATAGAAAAATTAATATTGAAGATATTTTGGCAGAAAAAGGAGAATCAATAACAAAAATTTCAGGAACACATAATGGAGAATTTGTATTAAACGAAAATCACGAAAAATAAAACAGTTTTCTGGTGTAAGCATGTGTTTTTATTAAATTAGATTTTTTAATTATCTATGAATTCTTGCAATTTCTTGCATCATCATCTTGGTACGATGATGCAAGAAATTGCAAATTACTATGCTATGAAGTGTTGTAAAATTTTTAAAAACACCTTTTTCCGAAATGATTAAAACAATTCAATTACTTACAGGTCAAATGAAAACTTGTATGGAAAATTAGTTGCATATACATATTTCATTATTTGTTGTTATCTATGTATGCATAGTGTATACATACTGTTTTTTGCTTAGATTTGATTTAACATATGTAAGTTAAATAATTGCATTGTTATAATAAAATTCAACTAAAATGAAACATCACCTTTTATATCGAAAATGCCATTGAATTCGGCGATATTGATTTTCGAAAAAAGTATAATCGTATCAAATTTTATCTCTAAAGTTCGCTTCATTTTTTTTTGAAAATCCTTCTCTTAAATGTCTACCAAAGCTAATTTTTTTCCGCTGTAATCTATAGTGTCACAAAATGTGAACAGATTTACGGGTGAGAGGCAGATATATATCCCTTACTATAATCTCTAAATCGCTTATTACTCTCGAAAAATTAAGCAAGTAATCTCTTTACAGAAAAATCTATGAAAACTCTATTTGTTTAGTACCATAGATAGGTATTAGACTTACCTGCAGATATTTAATATAAAATTTTTTAAGAAATTAATTAAATAATATACTTGTAAAAATATATTTTTTATTGTTTTGAATAAGTACATAACATGATATTTTTTATCATTAAAAATTAAATATTAAAAAAAATATAATATTAAAAATAATACAAAAATGTGGCACTTTTCATATCAAATAAAACAACATAAAATGCATACAATATTTATTTATAAAAATTAAAACTTAAAATCTATTATTAAGAAATTTTTAATGCTTTATTAAATAATAAACAATAAATTTAATTTCTTTTGCAAATATCAGTAATTGTAGTTACCGAGACTTATACATAAATGTATATATTATGTACCTATACGGACATCGGACTCTAAATAATGGCTATGCATTAGAAATTGATATTTATGGCTTGATGAAATAAAAACATGCAAATCATGTTTATTAGAGTAACGTATGCACTATATATATAGTTTATATTTTATTTTTTATATAATTTAAAATACCTACATATTTTAATTTTCAGTGCCACATTATTCGATTTCGGTATATATTAGCTGAGAATTTATTTATACATACATCAAGATTGAGAAAAATTTTGGAACAATATAATATTCTTATTATATAAATTATATAAATTATATTATGTTATTAAAATAAATCTAATACAAGACATAATTTTAAGGACGGCAAAAAAATGTGTGTGTATGCATAAGACACCAATTATTTAATTATTAAATATATCCTTCTTTTGAAAGATTTTCTTTCAAATCCAAAATTATAAGTAATGTGTGCAAATTATAAGTAAATATGAAAATCAAATATGTAGGTACACTTTTTCCTATTTATTTAAGTTAAACGTGCATACAAGCCACACATAGTAATAAAATTAGTATTAAAACGCAAAAATTTAATTTATAAGATTTTACTATTAATTCATTAAAAGTTTAATTTCTAAAACAGTAGGTATAAATTGAAAATTACATCTTGTATTGGAATTATGGTTTACTTATTTTATTTTGAAAATAGAAAAAATTAACATGCATAATAATTAATTCGGTTTTTGCTTTCGGACTATTATTTTTTCTTTTTAATTTTGTTTTTCGATTAAGTAAATTGTCTTTGGTCTAAACACATTTGAATACCGAATTTTTTAAAGGAGAAAATCTAAATTTTTTTATTTTTTTTTCATTTTTTTTGAAAATTTAAAAAAAAAATGTAATAACAGTGATAAATTAAAAACAAGATCACGACTTAATGTAGTAATTAATATATAGTACAATTATTACCTACTAAATCATATTTCAGAAGAATGCAATTTAATAGTTCAAAGAGACAACATGGACCATTTTGTAACAGAAGAAATGAAATATGCTCATAACTAATTTAAATGAGATAACTTGCTTTGGTAATACTTTCCAAATAATAGATTCCGAAGAACCTTAAAAAGAAAAAAATTCTGAAATATTTTTCGAAAAGTTACTCAGATAAATAATTACTTTATATGTATAAAAATATTTTAGAAATGTTAACGTATTTTTTGTGATTGAAATTTAGAATTTCTTTCAATACGAACACATTATACTTTTAATTGATTTTCTATTGCAGTTTCTTAAAATTTACTAAATTTTATTAATTAAGTGTTCATTCCAAATTTAAAATTTATCTTTCATTTAAAAATGGATGGCACAATTAAAGTAAGATTATATTAAAATATACAATATTCAAGGCAATTAAGTACTATATATTTGAAATTTATACATTTATTTTAAACTCTTTTCGGTTTACTGACAATTGCATAACTCATGCCATTATAATTTTTATGACCCAAATGTTGTTGATGCATTTGCAAATTGCTAACATCATCAGCATTTAATGTTTCCACTGTAACATTTTTTTGTGCTAATGATGAAATTTGTGGTGATACAGGTGTATTTGATTTTCTTAAAACAGCATGTGCCAGAAAAGTATCATCAATTATTCGTTGTGATGTCTGTTGTATATCTGGACTAGTTGCAATAAATTCATAATCATTTGTTGATGCGTCAGGATCTTTTTTAGAATATTTGTTATTACTATTAGTACTGTTATTTATAATATTATCATTATTTTTATTATTATTGTTGCTATTATTATTGCTACTACTATTAGTATTATTATTATTGATTTTAGTACTGTTATTATTGTTGTTGCTTGAATTTGATGAAGTAACAGTTACTATAGTTTTATAACCACTTGATGTATTTTTATGATTAGGAGATAAAAAATCCAAACGATCATAATTATTTTCTAAATCTAAATCTGATGCTATGCTATCACTAATTTGAATCCGATTTGAATTTATATTTGCATTGTGACCTACTTTTAAAATTGGTACCCTATTCAGTTGATTTGAATTTTTCAATGTTGTCATTTCTTTCTTTATTCTATGAGGTTCACGTTGAGATTGCGTTCTTTGCCATACAACATCTACAAGATCATCTTCCGGTATTGAAGTAACATGTTCAACATGCTTAATATCATTCATACCACGAGTTTTCCATGCCTCTGTTATATTTTCAATAGATTCATAATTTTGTTGTTCTATACGATGTTTTTTATTAGAATCATTACGCATTGGTAAATCTGGCGGTTTATCTAAATTGTTATTACTACCATTTTGTTTCATTTGTTGTTGATTTGATGAGCTACCTATAATGCCACTTGCAGTAATATTATTACTACCAATAGTATTATTATTAATGATTTGTGGTGATGGTGTACGATTTTTAAGTTCTGGTGATGGTGAATTTAATATAACAGTAGAATTTGATGTTTGATCACTAGTAATAGCGACCGGCTCGAAATTTTTAAATTTCCTAAATTTATTTTCGCAATTTTGTTGTGATGAAGAAGATGATAATGTTGGCTGTGTAGAATCAGTCGTTTGTTGAGATATTGAATTTGTTACTGAGTTGATTGTATGTGCTATTTGAGATGTTTGTTGACAATTATTTTGTGAAATTAATTGAGCAGCTACGATTGAATGTTGTAATAATAATTTTTCATTTGTTGGTGATGCTGGATTAGATGTAGGAGTTGTTAATGTTTGTAAATTATTTAGTGTTTGTAAATTATTTAGCATTGGAATTAATTTGCGCGGTGGTTTATTCGGTATTATCTTCTGTGGTAACGGTAGCAAAGGCAGTTGTTGTTGCATGATATTTGAACTTGTATTTGAATTAATGGAAACATTATTTAAGGAATCATTCGACGATAGAAAACCTCTCATTGATATACCACTTTGATTTTGAGATGAACTAAAAGAATTTTCAAAATCTGATACAGATTGATGATGATTTGGTGATGGTGGTAATGGGCTACGAGAACCTGGTTCCATCTGAGCAGCAGCCGTTAACTGATTTTCACCACAGTCCAAGCTATTAATACTTTCACCACTTATCAATTTTTTCATTGATTTCATTTTTGATGACATACAACGAAAAACTTCTTGCGGATTTGTATGATCTAATTGAAATACACCTTCGCCAGTACTACATTTGCGTCCCGCTTCAAATGTAAATTTACCATCACGATAACCATACTTTCGTATAAATCTATATGGCCATTTTGCTATAATTATACTTAAATCTTCAGCTGATTTTAATTGTAATTCAGTTGCAGTTAAATGTAACATATATGTTTTTGATTCCATTTGGCATCTTTGTGATGCTTCGGACGGTATTAATTTAACTATAAATAAACCATCTCCATAAGAGCTGCAATAGAGATCATTGTCTTCTTCAATAGCTGAGTTTCGTGAATTACTACTACTGATATTATTATTGTTACCACTTTTATCACGAAAAGCTACAGATTGTAGTGCTGTCACCCATTCACGTAATTCTTCTTCAGTCAGTGTATTCAGTGTTAAAGTTCCGGTCATTTTAACAATTTGTATTTGATTAGCCGGTGCTGGTTCTTGTGTTATTTTAACACAATTTTCCAATGTTATAATCTTCGGATTTTTGTCATCTTTCGATTCACAAATTTCCAAACGTTCAATACCATGTTTACTTGATTTAAACAGGAGACAGTAACGTTGTGATGATTTCTGAAAGTAATATATACATATGTAAATTACATTTTTTATTAATAATATTATTTTATTATAAATATCGAATCGATAATAGAATTATTGACACACAAGCTGGTAATTTTTATTTACATATCAAATTATAATAATTATAATATAACAATAAACAATATGTACTGAGGGCAAAAAATTAAATGTCCGCGAAAACTATATTGAAGAATATCCAAAATTGTCAAGTAAGTCAAAAAGGCAGTAAGTAATACCAAATACAAAATGATATGCATATGAAAATAATACTAAATATCCTTGAAAATTTTAATTCAACTTTCTCTTAATCCTAAAATACCGTTAAAATACAGATTATAAACAAGGGGTAACGGTGCACTGCGACCAGCATATAAAGATCTATTGTGCCTGTATATGTATATATAAATGTTTGTTTTTTTGAAAGTATAATTGTGTAACTACATAGAATAGCCTCTAATAATGTTAAATTTTATAGGAGAAATGTTTTATTAATATGTTAATAAACACAAAATATTGGAAAACAAAAGATACAGGATGTATCCTCCAATTAATGAATTAATAACATATTTATTCATGTGGATTTTCAAGTCAGTCAGAGAAACGTTGTAAATATGATGTTAATAAATATACAACAACACTATAATTATAATTCATTCTAATAAAGAAAGAGCGAAAAAAATATACCTACATACTTAAGTACAAGAAAATATACTTAGATTTTAATATTTGATTTATAATTAATATAAAGATATAAAATTATATGAGAAATATAATACAAAAAAATAAATATAATTATTGTATAAGCACATTGTATTTTGCGAATAATTATAATAGTAAATTTGTACAAGCAGCAAAATAGGATAAAGAATAAATAAGTATAGGAAGGTACAAGAGCTACCTAACCTAATTAATAATCAAGAATACAAAACAAAATTGAAATACTTTGTGTTAGGACTAATATTGGCCACATCTATTGAATCTTCTCATAACAACCATATCGGTATAATGGTTTATAATTACTTATTTATTACCAGTCTTTAAAAATGAGAAACTGTTAATGAACTGACAAAAAATTTTCTCATTCAGCTATGAGAACTAGAGTACTTGTTTTTCTTAGCAACAATTTGAGCAAATTCAATGATTTAAAATAATAAACAAAAATATTTATCAAAATTGCACAATTATTGGATCATTCATAATTGCATAGCATGAGGCTATTGTATTAATTTTTCCAAAAACAAAAAAAGGTATTGATGGACTCATGAAATGCAAAATAAACTAGAAAGTTTTCATTTGAGTATTGAAATATACTTATATTTCACTCCATTTGTATACATAGTTAACTCCAAATATATTATAATTATCTTATAATTGACCGAAATTAATTTTTGCATATGGCAGATCTTTAAGTGATATAAATACGCGTTACTGTTATAATACATACATAAATAACTATCATTGAGAATATAATGAAAGTAATAACAAAGAAAAAGTCAAAATGAAAATAAAATTAACGATCCGAACGTGTATGTGAAATAAAAAAAATTATATTGCATACACAAATATAAGTTTGTATGCATGTATGTTCTGAAATTTTAAATTTTCATACATTTTATTGTTCACCTGAATGTAAAGGTATTTTAGTAAAATTTGTACTTATGTAGTATTTATAAATACATATGTATATAATAGTAATCGTACAAAATACAAAGAAATGGCTATATTAGATTACTGTCGTCGTCAACATAACCAAAACAACAAAAGAAAAAAGCACAAAAAAATAAATAATAAAGATACGAGCAATAAAAAAAAATATTTAAAATGTAAAAAGGAAATGCCATTGTTGAAAGCCAGTTAAATGTTGGCGTTCGGATTTTAGACGCATTTCAGGTGAAAAAAATAAAAATTAATAGGTACTTGTAGCAAAAAAAAAATAATTTTCTAAAATCGCTAATTTTAGAGCCTCGTGAACATAAAGAGTTTCTGGAAATCACACTGAAAATATTTTAAAAAATACATTGAAAACTACATACCTAGTAAATTTTAAATTTTTTATTTCAACAGAGTGCTTGTATACAACTAAAGAGGGAGCGTTTAAACAAAAATCTTCATAATTTTTAATTACAATGTTACTCACGACTCACTGATAATTTGTGCTATAAATTTTACCGAATTCACTTAATATGTAACTCTGAAACTATTTTTTTTCCCTCGAGAATTAAAGCTAAATTGATAAAATGTTAAATATGCCTCAAATTCATTTTTGCCTTAATTAGACGTGTTTGACACAATATTATTAAAAGTTTTGCGATATTTTCTAGAAACATTTTATTAATTCAACTACATCTAGCAATGTAGTAATTGTCTAAACGTATTTTTGTAAGAAACTTATTACATTTTGTATGTAGTATAGGCCAAAAAATTCCTTACTATCATAAAACATGCAATGTTAACATATTTACTGCTAAAAGCAGTTCTACTATACTTGCATGATTATTAGAATTTTCATAAGAGCGCAAAATATTTGTGCATACAATTAGTACAAATTCTCTCAAACTGTAGGTACCTTTCTATATTTAAGAGCAAAAGTACTCAATGGAATTTATAATTTTAATTTTATCTCTATTTTAATTTAATGTGAAAATAATAATTAAAGAACAAAATTAAAACATTTAATATCATCATTAAACTGTTGTTAATGAATTCACATAAAATTATTGGAAATTTTGTAATATGAAGTAGCTGGGTCTTCATAGTATTTTCAAGAAAAAGAAATTTTGTGTGTATATACTTAGGTTCATATATGTAAGTATGTATGAAATTTTCAATAAATATGATATTATCCTTTAAAAATTCAATGAATTAAATATCAAATAATAAATTTTATGTTATGAACAAAAAAATTAAAATTATAGTTTAAAAATCACCTAAAATAAAGAAGAAGAAAATTTTTATCAAAAAAACGACAATTCTTTATTTAATAAGACAAAAGTTTAAACAAAGTACTTATAAAAAAAATTTTTTTTTTCTTTTATTTATAAATTATAAAAAAAATTGATAAGAAATTTCAAAAGAATTTAATTATACTGATAAAAAAAAACGTAATTGTTATATTTATATTAATTGCGCACCTATATTTAAATTTCAACAAAACTAGACTTATAGATGCCTAAAGTATGATTGATATGACGTCAATTTATCTGTAAATAAAAATATTTACGGAATTTGGTCTTCATTGGAATAGCGTACATACAATAAAATAGAGAAACAACCGTTATGAAAAGCTAAAGAAAAAATATATTATAAATTTATTGATTACAATAAAAGGAAATTACATTTGACTATATAAAGAACGATAAGAAAACCTTTAATTCATTAAAATGTTGTATATACATATAAACACTTATATACATATGTATAAGTAAATACGATAGTATACTTAATTAATAATTAGTTTTTATTTGGAAATTAAAATCAATTTGCTAAGGAAATGAAGATTTTTTAGAAAAAAATTTTTAGATATTTAAAATCAACTCAAGTTAACAAATTCACTTATTGGTCCATTACGATATAGATTCGTAGATTTTAAGGGAACCGAGTGGGACAAGAGGATCTCCTCTCGGGCCGGTAATAGTTAGAATATTGACCATATTCTCTAAGCAAAATCTGTAATCGGAAATCACATTTACAAAAACAATTAACTAAGAATTTGTTTTAATTACAAATTTAAAACTTGTTCTTTATATATTAGGTTCTTAGTTTCATTTTGTCAGATAAATTAATTAAATTTGAATGAGTTTCATTTGAATTTTAGTCAAATGAATAAAACTAATTAAGCCAATTACAATTTTAAAACTTATAACCATGATCATCTTGCAATTAATAAAAATTTTCAATTGCGATTAAAAAATTAACAATGTGTAGAAATTATTTTACAACCATGACGAGGGATAATAAAATTATGTACGACATTTTTGAATATGTAGTTTTCAAGGGGCATAAATATTATACTAAAATATTATGTTATGTCTCTGCTCCTGGTTTGTATTGATTAGCACAACCATATATCTTACTAACACACAAAAATTGCACAGTAGCACAATATGTTCACTGTATTTAAGTAGTACATTAAGATGCACCACAACTGTCAACATAAAATTCATGTGAACTGCATAATTAGAACTTTTGTAATTGAGAATTATTTGTTATACTTTAAATCGTTTTTGTAATAGCTATAAGTAATTATTAATTTTCGCTTTCAAATTAACTACTATGACAACATAAAATATCGGTTATTTGATATTAAATAACCATTGACGTAATTATGATTTTAGTTTTGAATAGTTTTCAAATTTAAATGGTCTAATAATATCTCAAAATTATTGTTTTTCTTCTTCATTTGGCACGTGTGTTCATTAAATCACGATCAAAATGTTAAAATTACGTCATCGAAACCTGATTTTTTTTCAATTATATTGAAAATTGCAAATTAATTTTTTTTTTTTGCACAAAACACAAAAACTCAAATTTTTTTATTATTTTTTTATTATTTTCTTTTTTTTTTGTTATTTCGAGTTTTTAAATAACTTAAAATTTTAGTTTGGCCTCTTATCAATTAAATGTAAAAATTATGCAAAGTTAGTTCTCAGAAGTGGATTAATTTTTGATAAAGGAAACAACTTTTATATTCAGTTAATGGTTAATGCTTCTCCGAATTTATGTTTTGAATTTCCAAATTTGGAAACTGTAAACTGATTAAGAAAAGTATTAACTTGAAATTTGTTGGAAAAAAAAAAACAAATTGGAATTTTGTATCTTGTTGAGTTTTTGATGATTTTTTAAAGAAAACTTGAGTTGGAATAAATTAAAATGTAAATTATAATAAAATTTCTAAAACCTAAACATAATTAATAGTTTTCGAATGAAATTCGAATTTTTTCTGTACGAATTGTAGACTAACCATTTGGTTCCTTACATTATGCAACACTGTA